CGGCATCAGTGCGGTCATTTGCCGGTCAAACATTGATGTGGTTGCCGAAAAGACCGAGTGTAGACTGACGCTCCCAGAGAGCGTACAGGGCGCGCAGGGCACACGCTCATATAAGGAGTCGCCTGAGAACGACGGTGAAGAAAACAATTATGAATCGATAGCATGAGCTAGTCCAGTCTGTTCCGCGTCAATCTATTTCAATTCTTTGTCAACTTTAAATGCAAGAACAACATCCCAAAACCACGAGAACAGCATCCTATGTGTAATGGAATAGCCACCATGATTGCTCAAAGCGCTCAAAGTAACGCATTACCGTACCTGTGAGCCTGGAGAGAGTGCCGAACTCGACGATGAAAGTGCCCACGCCGGCAGTACAGGTGATGGGTGTTTCGCCCGGGGGAACGCCGTACCGCAGGTTCACCGTGCCGTACGGCATACCTGGGGAAATGACGGGTTAGATGAAAGGTTAGACGGGGGTCACATGGTCATATGGATGATCACATAGTCAGACTTAGATCATAGGCTTATATGACATGCCGCTGGATCAGACCAATAGCCATGCCATTATATAGAACATGTCACACAGAAGATCACATAAACTGATGGTCAGATGAAGTGTCACAGGGTCAGGCAGAGGTTAGTAGGCTAAAGTACGTACACAGCTGGAATCACCAGACCACACGATCACACCATAGCAGACCTGCACTGATGTGCATGGGCATCACGAGTCCTCACCGGTGGGCGTGTCGAAGGCGGGCAGGATCCGGTCGGCCACATCCACAGCCAGTGCCAGTAGCGGTCCGTTGCAGGGCCAGCCGGGCGGCAGCGGCGCACCACCCCTGTGGGTTATATTAGTGAGAGTAAACCATACATACCACAGCAGTCTGTTACAAAATAGGCTAGCCCTGCGGCAGCGCCACGCCGCCCCTGCAGGACATTTGAGCGGAACGAAGCCTTCTCAACAAAACGAGAAAAAAATGGTATGAGCGGCTCGGCCCGGCACCGCCCGCTAGCGCACGTATAGGACTCACTCTCTCGCTCACTCTCGCTGGTAAGTCTAAGAGTAACTGACCTGTCGAGCATCAGGTGGGCGCTGAGCAGTCCGCCCACCACCCGAATGTTGGTCTCAAACACGGACACGTTGATGTTGAGGTCCATGTCCGAGTGGGACGTCACAATCAGCTCAGCCACCCGTCGAAACTCGCTGGGGGTAAGTGGGCGGGACAGAAAGGTAAGAATGGAACAGCGTCCTTTCACGGGTGTTTGTACAGTGATCGATCGTTTAAAAACACTTCGTCATTGGAAGAATGGCCTATTTTAGTCCAGCATCGCACATTACTGAACACCGAACACCACACATGATTCCATGCAAATTTTTCCCGAATCAATGCAGCGGAGAATCTGATATCCTGCCATTCCCGTACTATTCATTTACGCAATGACCACGAAGATCGGTGTTGACACGCTGTGCCTTCTCGCCATCACTTGCTATGAGCCCTTTAGGGCCATCTGACGCGTCCTGAATGGTTTTCTGCTACCGTCTTACCTGTTATTTCCCATGACGGCCAGTGTGTCGAGCGCGTCGATCAGCGTCAGCGAGTACGATCCCCAGGTGTCGATACCGTCACAGGTGAGCGGCCGCAGCTCGTCCAGCGGGTAGGCGTGGCGCAGGTAGCCCTCGTACGAGTGCTGAAACATCTCCCGCACCTCGTCCCTGCGGCAGACGGCGGCGATCCACAAACGATGGTGGCAACAGACATCGCTGGTGAGGTGACAGACGAGTGTGGACCGGAGAATAGTGGACCGGAAAATCGCAGTAGATGCAAACTAATAAAGAATACCAACTTTTCACCAGTAGGTAGCCTCGAAATAGTAGTTTTGTCACTCTCCAAGCAAAATCGTCATTCATAATACAAGAACATGACCACTGCATGTTTAGGCATACAAGTCTGAAAGCAAATACAGTAAATTAAGCACCTACCGAAGTCGAGCCAACCTTTCCCTTGTGAATTCTTCAAAGGCATTTACAGAAAAATGGAGAAATAATAAACACAATGCTGAGTACCAAAAATTCATCTTTGCTTGATGGTTGTAACTGTTTAATCACGTCAATTGCATAAGCTTCTCATACTTGTTGGCAAAACTATCTTATCTTCATCTGAAATACTGAGAATTAAACAAAGGTCAACAGACTTAATTACCCACCCTCGTACCAGAAATATAAAAACATCTCTATGAAGATATATGTATTTCAAAAGCATGTGCTGTAGCTTAGTTTGTACCTACCTAGAGCACAGGACTTTTGGCAGTGAGAGGGATCAGGTTCAAGACATTCTTGGCTCTGGCACTCAACATCATGAGACCTGATGGGAATGGTCAAGGCCCTAGAATGGTCTGCAGTTCAAATTGGTGGGATCAGCAGCAGCCAAGTGGTATCAGTTGAGAGAGATGGACCATGTCTGGATGGTGTTAGGTGGGCACACTGAACTTCAGCCTCTGTGATGCATTGCAAATTATTTACTTGGGTAGGTAGGTACCTGGGAAAGTGCAATCTGGAGGTAAGGGTCAGGCCTGCAAAACACTGACAATCTCTGCTTATAGCACTAGTTCTAGTTCTTTCAATCTGCTCATTGAAACATTTGAGCCAAATTCATCACAAAGGTATAACTATAAGATATTGGCAACATGTAGTGTTTGACAGCACTAATGTTTATAAATTATGCTAAGAAATATGAGTAGCTGTAAAGCAGACGTCACACTTGTTTTTTGCGACCAAGGAGAGACGCTAATCACTAGGTATACCCAGAGATGCTTTCTAATCAAATCAAACCAAAGTCCAAACCTAACCAAACCTGACCTAACCTTACCTACAACCTAACATCTACCACCGAACACCTAAGACATACAACCTACAACTTAACCTAAAGCGCCTTTCCTTGGTTGCAAAAAACAAGTGTAACGTCTGCTTTACTAGGTGGTAGGTACACTCGGGCGCAGATTGATGTTCCACCACTCCCTACCCATCGGGCTCCCATGGCCCAACACTGGCTGCTGCCAGTGGCAGCACTGGCACTGGCAGGCAGTGCTGAGCAGTGCTGAGGGCAGGCAACACTGGAAGCAGCCAGTGCTGAGCCATGGTGATGGGAGCCCGATGGGTCGGTAGGGAGTGGTGGAACATCCAATCTGCCCCCAAGTGTACCACAACCCAGCAATGCAATGTGGTGGAACATCCAATCTGCCCCCAAGTGTACCACAACCCAGCAAAGCATTGCAATCATTACATTACAGCCATTCGGGATTTATCTAATGGGGGTTTAAAGTTAAAGGGACCCTCCCACCTTCAAAAAAGTTAATGAATTGGCACGAAAGTGATGTCGCTCGGTTCAGAAAGAGCGAAAACGAATATCTACCAAATTTCATCGAAAAATATTCACCGGTTTTCAAGATATTATACTTTTACTTTTGTTTACTTTTTGGGATCTCCGCTGTTCCTAGCGACTTTATTTGAAAGTGCGGCATTTTTTGCGCGCAAAGCAGCATATACCACCGCGTGCTACCAAACGTTTTAGTCAAAGATTTAAAAATCGTTAGATCTCCGCTGACGTCACAAATTCTAAGGGGGCATACCAATGCACTAGCCCCTTAGAATCCGAAAACTGCAAGTTTGAAATTCCATATCTCCGAATTAAGGCTCTCTCTATCGCCTGGATAAAAATAGGCCCCGCCCATCCCAATCAGCTGCTGCATGACGAGTTGATGACGACAGCCACTACTTACCAGCAACCAATCTAGGGATAGCGTACTTGACAGTAATGGTGCAGCGGTTGCAAAATATTACATTGTTATTCAAACGGTTTTTGCTTTTAGGGCCTTGTTAGATGAGGATGAGGTTAGATTAGATGAGGTGTTGATGAAGGCAGGTATTTTTTTTAAATTTTGACAATTTTTTGCCCTTGTTTTACTTAATAGCTGAACCCGGGACCACCTGAAGTCTAAACCTTATTTTATATAACATGTCAATGCTGATGCTGTCTTGAAATGTGAAATTTAGACAATGGTAATAGGAATAATGAATAGCAATTTCACCAACAACATTTTAATCTCTAGGAAGTGCAATTAAAATTAAAATCACTGTCTGCCACACTGCTCCATCCTGGTCATGCAACCAACGTTCATGGGTGGTGTTTCACGGCAGAGCACGCACTGCAGTGCTCAGCACTGCAGTGCGCTGCGTGTGTCAGAGCATTGGGTTTCCATGGCAGTGTCAACAAACTTCACTGTGACGCTAAGCTATGACAGCATCCCAGAACGCTGCACGCTGCGGTACCAGCACCAGCAGCATGCTAGCAGTATTTGAACTCAAACCTCTGTTCTTGGTACGGTTTTTCAGAACCTCTCACTCTGTTCCAAACGCGATTGATCATAAACTAAGAGATCACATGCAACGTCATTTGAGTGATGCTATGGTATGCCGTAGCTACCAGTGCACACAGTGTCTGGATGGTGAAACAGGGCCATTATTAATCACATTTGCTTTGCTTTGTTTCAGCAGAAACCTGTCTGCACATGGGAGGAGCGCAACAAAAGCCCATCAAGTTCATGCATGGCAGTGGATCTCAACAGGAGAAAACCAGAAAGAACATGGATGCTTGTAGATTGCAGTTGTACACTGCTGTTATCACCTGATGTGCGTGGCTGGCATTGCTCCTGGCAAGAACCACCTGCAAGTGATGAGATGGTGCCTCAGTCGTTGAGTGTGCTGCAGTGTGAGAGGTGCCCTGATCTCTACTTTGTGATGGGTTTCCATTGGAGGTTCAACTGAGAAGTGAGAACTGACTGTGACCATGCTTGAGCATGCCAGTGGAGCTTTACATGCTTAGGGCAGCTTTTGAACAGATGCTGACCATGGCATGTCCCATCCAGTTATCACGTGCACAGAATGGTGGGGGGAGGGCAACTCTGGGCTCTTGAGTCAGCCCTACTGCACAGGGGGTACAGATGGCCGCTTACGTTTGGTGTGTCTTGCACTGCATTATCAAGCCCAGTCTGCGCCACAGGCAATGGGTCGGGCTGCACTATATTAAAGGCAGACTATCTTGCAAAGGAGGCTGGCATCCTCTCCCATAATGACACACCAATTGGCAATCATCGCTGCGATGATCACGAGGGTGTCCGCTTATCTAACATGGTGAGGTGGAGAGCCAGTTCAAGCTGGCCTGAGGGATGGTTTTACTTCATCTGAGGCCCCCTTTCCCCGCCTGCCAGGTCCGGTCAAACGACCGCTTCACAGTGAACGACTTGCAGTGGATGCCGTCCCACAGCGCAACGAGCTCGCCGACCAGAGGCGGCGGCCAAGAGGCGGCCGCGCTCCCCCAGTCGACGGTCCCGGTGGACGTCGGCAACGCCCACCGCGCGACCATCAGATCGGCTCGCGACAGCGCCGTCGCCGACTGACCGCATGACTGGTATCTGTTCTTGATGTGGGACCGACTGCCACCGCCGGTCGCGGAAGGGCATCGCTCATCGGCCATCGACGTCCGCCAGCTTCGCGTGGGTCACTGTTCGGGCTGCCACCAATACACCGAATCGGATGGAACCCTGTCGGCGAATGCCGGCGGTGCCCCGACATCGACTGCGCGGCGGCCAGTGCATCGCGTGCCGGGAGGAGGCTGGCACCCCCGATCGGTCATTGGTCACAAACCGTGTCCCAGCTCATGACTGCATCCAGCGCAGCTCTGTGAGATGTTCTGCAGCTGCTGCAGTCTGCCGCGTGTGTTGAAAGAAGAATGAACATGAGAAAACCTCAAAACTTTATGCCTATTCGTAATTGACCAGTATTGGAATAAGTTTGGATTTTGAGAATTTGTGTCCCTGTGCTTGTGCCTGTGTGGAAAGGCATGCTTTACGGTGTACCATCTCAATGTCAAATCCCGGCTGCGCTGTGCGGATTTGTGCGGCTGCTGACAGGCCACCTGGGTGCCAACGTATGTGCGAATCCGCGAATACGTTGTGTTTCGTCAGTCAGTATCGTTCTGAAAATATTGACTGCAATAGGCTATATAGCGTATGACGGTTCAGCCCAGCAGTAATAACTGACCATTGATTGGGCGAATTTTGTGTGGTGGTTCGCTAATACATAACCTAAAGACAGATGCTGATTATTTAGGGACATATTTGTGTTATGAGGTTATCGGTGGAGCCAACAAATAACAAAATGTACTTACTTTTATTGACGTTTCGGTTTCAAACAACCTTCGTCAGAATAGAATTACAAGTTACGTCTCATATTTCAAAAATGCACATATTTCAAACACACTGAGAACATAGCAGAGATAAATTCACGTTCAAGTCACGTTCCACGAAGACTTTAAACATAGCCAGTGTTGACGCAGTTTGAATTTATCTCTGCTATGTTCTCAGTGTGTTTGAAATATGTGCATTTTTGAAATATGAGACGTAACTTGTAATTCTATTCTGACGAAGGTTGTTTGAAACCGAAACGTCAATAAAAGTAAGTACATTTTGTTATTTGTTGGCTCCACCGATAACCTCATAACACATAACCTAAAGAGTGTTTTGCCGGAATCGTTTAGTAGCAGAACTGACCGGAATATCAGTAGAATGCAACGGTTTGAATCGTTAATTTGTTGAAACGATTGTTCTCTGAGACCACTGTGTAACTTTTGACCTGAGAATCACCAATTATAACGACAATGGGGAAGCAGTAGGCACTGTAGAGTGTAGGCAACACTATATAGTTGGCACACTTACGGAAGCACACGACTTACGCAGTGGACATCTGCATCATGCATGTTAAGGTTTACTGGGAATAGTGAGAAATTAGTCAGAATATAACTGACTACGGAAAATAGGCGATATTTCCTATTGAGCTGGGGCGGAGAGGGGGAGGGGACGTGTGGTCAGCTATGCCAATAATTCATTCTCTTTATGCAGTTGTGTAAAAGGGCGTCCGTTTTTGGGTGAGACCTTCCCCATCGGCCATTTCCAAGTTAAATCGTGGTGGAGAGTCTGGAGACCTCAGCCTCGGTAGTCGGTACCCTGCGCGCTGCGCCACCTTGCGAAACATAAAGCAGCAGTCCTGACATCTACAGGCGTGACTTTTCATGAAAGCGCGGATGTGTTCGCGCTTATGCGAAGAAAATTCTTCCAAGTATGGTTGATAATGAGATTGATTGTTGTCATTGATTTATTAATTCATTGGCAAAAGTACCCTAATAAATCGGTAAAGTAGCTTGAACTGTATCGTATTTCCTTGGAAAAAAATGACGAACTCATCCTAAGACATGTTGACAACATCATGTTGAGCGCTGACGTTCCATGTATGGGACTGCTGTGGTGTGGTGTGTGTTCCATGTGTGCTCACATATGTTTCAAGGATGGAACGAAATAAAGGGCATTATTATTATTATTATTATTAAGACATCCAGATTATTGGATGCGTTCGTCAGTTGTAAGTAGTTCAAGTTTTTGGGAAAATTTGCTTGTGGAAAATCATAATATTTCAAAGATATGCCTATTTTCGAATAATTTATGCATTTATCTGCATTGAAAAATGATTGTAAAGCAAAAGTGCAAAAGATTATATTGTCAACTTATTTTCTCAAATCACAATTTACGAACGCACAAAACTCCAGCTTTTTATTTAGTGCGTGTGCGAATTGCGGTCAAGAAAAAATATTTAAACTGTCTATATCCCTCTTAAAACAATGAAGGATGAATGAGGAAAACGCTGTTTTGAATAATTGTATATTTATTTTTTCTTAATTAAGCAAAAGTACAAAATTTTCAACTATTATTACATTTGCTCTCACAAAACCCATCACTTTTTAGCATGACGTCATGTCAGCCAAATTTACTAGCGCCATCTCTGGAGAGCATCTTTCGAAACCTCCAGACGATAGAGAGAGCCCGAATTAAAGCATTTGTCGATGTTGTGAGTGCCCAAACCGGTATTTGCAGGCCATGGCCACCAATTTGGCTATCTCAACTCAAAACTTATGTTAAGGTGGGAGTGTCCCTAGTTTAAATTTAACTTGAAAATATTTCATTTATTTCAAACGCCAACAATATTTATACAAAATCAATCACATCACAATCAAGGCAATACCATGGATAAGAGGGCAATACGCATATATAAAACATTTATGTTCAAACTATGGCTCAAACCAAACAATTTTAAACATTTGAACAAACATAAACAGATTTCAACAAATCAGAACGCTACACTTCGAACTAAACCTGAACATTGAACAGATAATTGCATTCTTGTTTGTCTCATTAGCGCATTATACGTCTGGTACTCGGATTGCTTCCAAGTTCCAAATGAAGAGAAGTACTACTTTACTTCTCCAGCGAGCTTAATTGTCGTGAGATCGTGGAAGATCTGAGTTAGGTCTTGCATCCAACATTGCACTGCAGGGAGAAGAGAATGGAGTATGGGCCGTATGGGCCAAATGACATGAGTCTACTATACTATAGGTCGTAAGCCAGGCCGTTTTATGTATCCTTGGCTAGGCTCAAGGCTTCTGAATCCGCAAGGCCGTCTGCCGCGTACGTACCTACATTGTTGATGTGCAATGCGCATCATTGCATGACCCTTTGTAAGAGAAGGCGTGCACCAATAAGGTTGAGACTTGAGACTTGAGAGGCTTCAGTATTGGCAGGCTTCTCGTTAGTCGTTACTTCCTATTCACGGTCTAGCCTCCAGTATAACTAAGGGGTGCGTGACAATGATCTCACCAACGCCAGATGATCTCACCAACGCCAGAACTACAGAGTTGCATGAACGGCGGACAAGGGCAATCGCGGTATCATAGGCTTTTTTAGGTAGAGGTAGATACGGCGTAGACTGGCAGCTGAGTGAATCTTGGCACCCAGTGAAAAGCGTGCGACGATTGAGTACCTGAATAGTATTTTGAACAGCATTGATGACATTTTATTTTACATTTAAATGACAATGCGAGTAGGTACACATGAATTTAAATATATTCCATATTGTTATTTCTCACATTCACCAAAGGCCATGATGCTTCTCACTAGAAGTTCATATATGACATTATTATGAATTCACGAGCATGACATATGTTTATGCCACAAATAAAATGAACATAAAGCACTACAAAGTGCACATACACTTACTAAATGGCATGTAGCTGCAAGCATGAACAATTACTGTCACTTGGTGCCCATAAGCATCAGCACTAGTCGGGCACAGCCGGGCACCGGGTTCAGTAACAGTCTACATTCATTGATGGTTTGCAAGTCGATGGTACACAACACTGAATATGCGCCGGACACCAGTCGTATCGTATAGCAGTTTAGTTCACCGGCAATTCATCACACCGAGCGGACGAGCCGCCCAATCCCGACCTCACCACACCGGAGCGGGCACGGACAGCCCACGGCCCTCCCTCTCCGCTACCTCAGGCACGCGTACTGGGAGCACTCGACGCTGACGAAGCTGCCCACCGGCTGTACGGTGACGCCGCGCTGCTCGACGGGCGCGTGCACGCGCACCTGGCGCATGTGCGTGTCGCGCCCGTTCTGGTGGTTGGTGATGACGGCGATCTGCAGGTGGTAGGTGCGCAGCGGGCGGTCGTCAGCGCCGCGCAGCGCAAACACCAGCCAGCCGGACGGCTCAGAGAGCTCGCGCACCTCCAGCTCACGCAGGTCGTGGAAACTGGTGCCCGCGCGGATCGACACCCTGCCGACAGGGGGGGGGGGGCAGTCTCAGTTCTGGAGTGAGGTGAGCGGAGAGTCGAGCCAGCCGAAGCACTTAGGGGCCCGCCCAGGGTTGGCACTGCCCATTACCCACTGCCCGGGTTTTTTGGGTTTTTCTATGGGTTTTTCATCGAAATAACCCACTCCGGGTTTTTTACCAAAAAAGGTGTTCTTGAACTGCCGCAAGAAACCAGGTTTGTGTATCTTCAAGGGGAGTGAACCGTAAACCAAAAGTGTCATCTATGGACTGTGAACCCATTGCAGCGGCGCCAGGACTGCAGGGCGCAGTCGGCGTCCGATTGCGGCCGGACGGATCCTATGGCGGCGCCGGTCATCTGATGATCGCGGCGCTGGGGCGCGGCGTCCATGAGCTGATGCAGTCCTGAGGACCAGCCCATCACGCGAGGAGTGTTGTGTGTCCTTCTTCACCGCTTTCAGTGTTGTAGCTGCAATATCCTGAAACATGGCGGCGTATCGACCCGGCAGGAGAAAAGCCAAGGAATGGGACTTGTTTGAAGAGATTGAAGACCCTAATAAAGTGAGATGCAAACAGTGCGAGACGGAGGTGAGCAAGAAGATCGAGAGGGTGCGAGTGCATCTCGAAAAGTGTCGCAATTCAAAGAGGCGGAGGGACGACGCTGAAGATGAGCAGGACGTGGAAGAGCCCACCACCGCACCCAAGCTGGACAAATGGGTGGTTCGCACGACAGGCGCAATGAAGAAAAAACTGGACGAGCAGTACGCCCGTGGCATATATGCGGGTAATATCGCTTTCAATGCGGCTGACAACCCTCAGATGCGAAAGTTCATCGAAATGACACGTGGAGGGACGTATGTCGCACCGGGACGTAAAGAACTGGCAGGTCATCTTCTGGACACAGTGTCGGATGAGTGCGAAGGGAAGCTACGTCAGCAACTAGTAGGAAAAAACGTAATTCTGGTTCAAGACGGCTGGTCCAATGTCCAGAACCAGCCAGTGATAGGATCCTGTCTCCATACTGGAGATAAATCGTACTTTGTCGGTGCCGTCGACACAGGCACAAACAAGAAGACAGCACAGTGCATCGCCCAGCTTGCTGACGAGGAGATCAAGCGGTGCGAGAAAGAGTACGGATGCACTGTGGTGGGCTACATCAGCGACAACGAAGCGAAGATGGTAGCGGTGAGGAAGATTCTGGAAGAGCTTCGACCAGGATTCATCACGCTTGGGTGCGCAGCACACTACGTCAATCTCGCGCTGCAGGAAATCTCTCCCAAGCCTCTCATAGGCCAGATCGTTGAAGTGCAGAAGTACTTCCGGAATCATCACCTTCCAGCGGCTTGGCTAGCTGAGAAGCCAACATCTGTGAAACCACAGCTGCCAAACGAAACGCGCTGGTTGAGCCATGAAGAGTGCGTCAAGACATACGTGGCAACTACCCTCACTATGTGAATATCGCGACAGAGCACGAGGAAGAAATTGACGACAAAATCAAAAGGATCGTTGAAAACAGTGGCGTGTACCGGTCAGCTACACACCTGGAGAAACAGCTGATCGCAGTAGCAGCAGCACTGAACCGACTGCAGTCTGATGCATGCTGTGCGGCTGAGGGCGTGGATGTGTGGATGCAGCTACTAGCCAACTCAGAACTGGAGTCTCACAGACCTGCCATCCAGAAGAGGTTTCAGCAATGGCTGAAACCAGTGCATCTGGTAGCTTACAAGCTACACCCTGTGTATAGGGGCGAGAAGCTGTCAGCTAAGCAGGAAGATGAAGTCCACACGTGGCTGGAGGGGCGGAACCCCGCGTTCGTTGGTCCACTGCTCCTGTTTGAAGCGAAGGATCCCAAACTGCCCAAGGCATTGTTTAACGAAACGTCAACTTCAACTGTAAAGCCCGGTGCATGGTGGAGAATCCTGTGCAACAGGATGAAGAAGTCAGAGAGTGCAGATGCGGTGCCAGAGGAGTTCACTCAGCTCATGGAGCAGGTCCAGTCGGTGCCGTGCAGCTCTGCCAGCATCGAGAGGTCCTTCTCTACCCTGGGAAACGTTCACAGTAAGATACGGAACCGACTGGGAGTGCAAAAGGCAGCGAAGCTGGCCAAGTGCTACTCGCTCCTAAAAAGCGACGAGGAGTGGTGGTGGTGATGATGAGGGAAAGGACGTGTGAACAAACGTGCTGCGTAGCCAAGTGTGCAAACGTTGAGCACTCGACTATAATCCAGCAGCTTCCATTGCTTTAAATAGTTAACGAGTTCAGAAGTAATCGAAACTCGTTCTAGTTCAGAAGTTACATCATCTGATGGATGCAAAAGTGTGATTATTATTACATTGCAGCCTCAATCTATTCTCTGTTGACGATCGTTCTCTCATCACAAAATGTACTGAAGTAATGAGGCTGCTAATAAAGGTTGTAGAAAGAACGATGATCTTTACTTGCAGTGCAGATTCAACAACATTGTTTACTGTCACGGTAGGTGTCGTATTGTGACGCGAACACATATTATGCCCAACGGCCCAACATACATGAAAAACCCAAAAAGCCCACATAAAACCCGAATAAAACCCACTACCCAGTGGGTTTTAATGAAAAACCCGGTTTTTTTCCAACCCTGGGCCCGCCAGCTCTCAAAACATTTTGAGATGGAACAAAAACGCATTATCAGTCATCGATCGATATCGGTTCCTCGCCAGTCGTCAGGATCGCCACCACGAATACCAATGTGCTCGAAATACGTTCTTTCCACACAAGTGGCTCATGACTTCATGAGTACTTTTGCTTATTTGCCAAGCCCGGCAAAGTTCAGTGAGATCAAATGATTGCTGACCCGATCAGCGTAGGGAAAGCCTATTTCGAGTAACACCGGGGATTTAGCTTCCATTATTCCGCCCATTAGCTTCCGACGGAATTAATGATCGATGACTTCTGTTTAGTGATAGAAGGCTACTTCCAAGCTGGATAGATTTAACAAAACTCGGCAGCATAGATTTGAAATCCTCTGTAGAATTTAGTATGTTTAAAACATTAGACTGAGCAGTGAAAAGTGTACATGCATACCTGTTTGGTGTGTAGCTCTCATCCTGTTTGAAGTCGGAATAGATGCACACCTGTTGAACGGTGGTTTTCCGTTTGAACTGGATGTTGATTAGATGCGGCTGCGGACCGTCCGACTGCCAGTAAGTCTCCAGCGAGAGGTCTCTCAGCTGGTCAACGCCAAAACCTGATCGGTAGACATAGGTAGGGGGAAGAACGTTAGCATTGCCTTTGCCATAACTGACATAATGGATATCAACACAGTCAATTTTGCAATATGCAATGAAAAGTTTGCTCAACTAAATAAACCAGTCAGCAAGAACGAGGTGATCAGTTGTTTACGAGGAAAATCTCGGTACGTGTGGCCCAAACCCAAGATTTCTTTGCGCCCAGTCCGACACACTCCCACAACACTTCAATAACTTCATAACAGCTGGGCCCATTGCACTGAAACATTGAGCATGGCGCGGTAATTGGGCAGTGGGAACCCATCACACTGCTGAGTATAGCAGTTGGGATAGCTCCAAATTCACATGTGAATGAAAGTTGCGTTGGGCCATTCTGCGTCTCTGTTTGCATCTCTGCGGCCGGGAGCGTGTGGGCGGCCGGCGCCCCGGGGCGAAGGCGCGTCCGCGAGCCGGATCGCCCACCAAACCCCAGATCGCCCACCTGCGCTCCATGACGAACCGGTCGTGGGGACTGCAGGAACAGCAGCTCCGGAAGGTGGCCAAAGGCTACATCAGAGGAGCCCTCGAGTATGCGGCATCGGCATGGCTAACTGCCAGTTGCCACGCCCCCGGACATGTCGAGCAGCTGGATCGCGAGCTACGATCGGCGGCTCGGGTGGTGACCGGCTGCACACGCTCAACCGCTCATGGCGGAGGCCGGACTCCCAGCCGTTCAGGTCAGGTGAAGTACTCTGGCCACCAGGATGCTCTGCCTGGCGAGATCGCTACCTGAAGATGACCCGCTGTGAGTGATCGCCGACCAAGATCCCACTCGCCGCCTGAAGTCGACCACTGGATGGAGACGCCTAGGGAGAGAGGCGCTCCGAGCCTGCCACCTGAAGGATGTGACGGTGGAGGAGCGCCTGCAGGTGATGCTCCCCTCGTGGTCTGACCCGGGTGCAATCAGGGTGGTGTTTCACCGGTGATAGCACGCTGCTATCACACGTGTCAAATTGGGTTTCCATGGAGACGTCAACAAGCCCATTGCTCCAACACTACCACAACTACAAGTGTGACGTCAGCGCATAGCAGCGTGCTGCTATCACCGGTGAAACACCACCCAGGATATCCCCGAACATGAGCGGGGCAGCCCGCCGGGACGTCCCCGCCGCGATTCGCCGCCAGACCGCCGAGAACTACCTCGCCACCTTCCCAGAAGCCGCTACCTGGATCTGGAACGATGGCTCGGCGGAGGGCGGCACGACGAACGGCGGCGGCGGCGCCCTCCTCATACTCGGGAATGGGGAGGCCAGGGAGATCAGGTTCGCCGCAGGACGCCTGTGCTCCAGTGCGCCGTGCCGTGCCGAACTGTGCGCTATCAAAGCGGCGCTGGAGGAGGTCAGCAGCCTGTCAGGTGCTCCGGCAGAAGTACCCGAGGTCCTATGTACCGACTCCCAGGCGGCGCTGTCCCTGCTGGCCGGAGGTGCGGGATCGCCGACCACCCCGATGGGCGCGGCAATCTGCGCCCTGCTGCTCAGCATCTCCGCAAGAGACCAAGAGGTGATGCTGCAGTGGGTACCAGCGCATTGCGGTATCCCCGGTAACGAAAAGGCGGATGAGCTGGCGAGGGAAGCAGCCGGCCTCCAACAGGACAGGAGGCGCCAGCGGATGTCCGTACCATCACGGGCGCCGTGGCCAGGACAGCTGCAGAGGCATGGCGCAAGTCGTGGCCGGATTCTTTCTTCCGGCGAATTTGGGGAGACCGGATGCCGAGCCCGGTCTCCGGCGTGAGCAGGAGCGAGGCGGTGGATGTGCACCAACTGAGGGCCGGTCACTGGGGAATGACCCGCTAGTATCTCCACCGCATCAGCCGCCTTCCGACGAACTCGTATCCCGGGTGCCCTGAGAAGGACTGCCCAGTGGCACGCTGCATCGTGTGCATTTGTGCAAGGAGGAGGCGGACACACCGGAGCACGTGCTGCTCCGGTGTCCGAGTCTCGCCGGTCTCCGTCTTCGGCTGCTCGGCAACATACACGTGGAGCCTACACAGCTGCGCGACGGCGACGTTGTCGCGGCCTTGGTCCGCGGCTTCAGGAGCCATCTGGAGCCGCTGGCTGACGAGTGACACTAGAGGTCACCCGGGAGGAGCAACAACAACAATAAGGCGCGTTCGCAGCGGAGCGGGGTGTGCTCAGTGTCCGGCGGGGGGGGGGGGGGGTTCGAATCGAAACTGCTGTGTCGGACAGTCATCCAGCTCGAGCAGGTTTGGCACAGGTGCTGATGTGAGATTGTGATGTTGCTCACAATGCAGTGAAGCCAACCAAGACATTTGCTTTACTGCAAGGTCTACAGATGTACACATTGCAAGTGCCCCTTCTTACCAAAGATAAGAACAACGATGATAACGACTTAGGGCTCTGAGACTGCAGAAGTCATCAGAACCCATGATAACAACTAACAAAAACAATAGGGCAATCTCTCTCACTTGAAGTCATTAGGGACCAGTGAGAAAGGTGGCCAACAGAAGTCAGTTGGCCACTCAGTTTGCACATGCAGACCCATGTAAATCTTCTTGCATGCACTCACAATGTATTCAGTTTACAATAACAAGCAGGGTAGATCCCTGACCCACCTTACCTGGCTTGCATGTAGAGAGACTCCAAACTGCTTGATTACCAACTTCTCGCACTCTACCAAGGCGTTCCTCCTTGTATGGGTCATACTCTTCAACAGCTTCAGATGGAAGCATTGTTATCATGTCAATCTAAAAAGGGGACCAGGGATAGAATCACATAAAATGGCTACCATATATCTGAAAGTGTTGTGAAGTCAAATGTAGATATGAGCTCATTGACACTAAAACCTCACCATTTCGATGACTCAACCATTCAAATTCTGTATGGTTCAAGCAATTCAAAGGGGCATGATGGAAATGCAGTGAGCTGATTGGGTAACACCTAAAAAATAATCTGACTGGTGCTTTCCAGCTCAAAAATGCATGTGCACTAACTAAACATTTCTAAGAGCCATACATCAGCAAAAACAGCAGAAAAAGTGCACTGGTGCATGTGATCATTCACAAAACTTGTCTAGGCTGCAGTAGACTTTAATTTGATATACATTTCATATCAAGATTTGAATGTGTTAGCTTACAGCTTACTTGAAAAAGGAGAGCCTGGGAAATGACTGAGAGCCCTGCAGTTCAGTCCTTTTCAACATGATTGCAGTTCAGCCATGAGCCAGTCTGAGTCAACACTCCGTAACCAAGAATCAATGTCACTGGCAGTGACATCACAATAATCCCTGCTAAGGCCTGATGATGATACCTCATGTATCCATATAGGGCATCAGTAGCAGCAGGACACCTTCAATAAAGGGGGGGGGGCACTGTCGACTTTTGGTCCCATTCTTTCCATGCAACGCCCTCGCCCATAGGGCTAATGTTAAGATGCCAAAATCAAAGGGGGCACGGTGCCCCGGTGCCCTCCCCGTTCTGCCGCCTATGTAAGGCATGGGGTTATCGGGGTTTCAGGGGAAGCAAATCAAAATACAAAAATTGGAGTCAAACTTTGAAGATGTAAGGATGGATTACGCTTATTTGTATTGATTTGAGATTTACTGGCCTCAGCCTGTGGAAAGTGAATTCATGAATTGTGGGACAAAAGCGCATGGGACAAGATTGGTGAACTTCATAGAGCGTCAAACTTTGATTGTAGTATTGTGGTAAAAAGCCAATTATATGAACAATTAAATAAGCAAGTAGGCAATTACTCACAAAACTCGAGAAACTCATTTTTTCAAAACTTACTTCCAAAAATAATTCATATTTGGAAGCAGGATTACTCTACTCTTATGACGGAATCTCTTCATTGAGTGTTGATTTGACAAAAAACGAGTTTTTTTAAACCAAAAATACTTAATTAAAACAAAAGGCATTAATGTGTTTTTTAGGCTAATAATGTTGCGTTCATTTGAAATTGTATTTAGTTCAATCAAAATTATGAAAAACTGACGAAGCTGCTTTACGTGAAAATATTTTTCCCATATCTCCCCGATCTCTCCTTTATAATATCGCAGCAAAAGTGAACTTCAAAAATGACGCAGCTGATATGAAATCTATGTGGTATTGTGTTCGATATTTCTGCTCGTGTAGACAAGAAGCACTCGTTGCCGCGCAACCTGCTTCTTTTAAAGCCAATTGCTAGGCAACAAGCTGACATTTGTAGCAAAATTGAAGATTTTCGGCTTTTGAACAGCGTTCACTCATCATCGAAAACGTGGCTTGCTTTGAAAAAGTGGTGGCCCATTATACATATGCCTTATAAAAATTGACCTATTACCGTAGTAAAGCGAAAATTCAGCAGCGGCAACAAAAATATCAGGTGGGTCAAGGACAAGATAAGCATCTAGCCATTCAAATTTAGCTTGGAAGTACCCTGCACTTCAGATCTCAGCAAGCTCCAGTCCATTGACTAGTGTTCCCGCCGTTACGGGTTGTTTAGGTTTTGTTATACAAGAGCCTGAGTGAGGGCTGCTTTGTCTAAACGACTGCATTTGCTATTTTCACGTGACCGCCCCAGACGATTTGTCATGATATGTGACGCATGTTGAACGGCATCAGAGCTGTCCTGATCGGGGCGCAGTGAAGTACGGTTTGCTGAACAGTGATTGCCACTTGGACCGATACTGAAGCCGAAATATTATTGCCGGCTATACTGACGGTGCAGTTGGCTGTATCACCTTACTGAGTCACTGACATTTGTACTAAAGTCGCCTATCGTCCCGGACGAAGTGAGTAGCCATACACTGACACAAATCGTGTAATGCTTATTCGCTCTGTCATAAATGCATATTCGTTTGTCACAGTGCCAGCTGGCTACCTATCTGAAATTGTCTCTTGCGGACTGATTAAGAAATAATTTTCGTTGTTAAATTGTCAGTTTATTGGGTATGTGCAGTTCACGTGTTGTTGTGGCTGTTCCCCCCAGTGACCTTGGGCGAATCGTAAGCTACATTGAGTTAATTGTCTTTTGTATGTGTTTTCACAGTTTTCTACGGTCATCACGGTCCACACTGATCGCTGCAAGGTGTCACTACTGAATGATCCCAATACATACTGACCGACTAACACTTTGTAGTAAAAACCGGTGGCCAGATCAGTAGAAAATTCCATTAGGACGATTGGCCACAGTAGATAAGTTTCTGAGGTTTTTCATGGGACAGTATAGACCCTACTGATACGCTCTTTCTTCAAGGAGACTAACAATATTAACTGAGATATCCTGTATTATAGAATGTCATAATTTCCTACAGTTGACAAACCTTGACAACTTCATGTCATCTGGTCTTACAAGTAGTGCAGCTTTGTTGTTATCTCTGTCACTCTTTTCTGTCGGAGGCTTCCTGTGCCGGAGTCAGAAGATGGACATGTCAGGCAACAAGTCGATGTCAGGCAGGACCATCACTCCAACTGAAGCTGGGAGAGAGTACCAGACCAGCTTGAAAACAAAGGCGTTCAAACGGGAGCTGCAGGACCTGATGAAGCTCGGCGCGCAGCTTGTGCGGCATGATGATACTTCAGTCGAGACACTCCCGGGCATCATGGAAGAAGATGTTGCTAAGTGGATTCACACCTACATTTCTCTGGGACAGGTGGAACAAGATCTTCAGCATCTTCTCTCCCCAGAAGACTTTCAGAGACACACTGAGACACATAAGAAAACCATGGAGACTGTGAACCAGATTAAGACTGCTCTTGAAGAGTACCAGAGCACACTGAAGAAAACAAGTGTCAAACCACTCTCACGCGCTGGTGTGTCAACAAAATCTGGTTCCTCTAAGTCAGTCAAGTCTGGTCTCCAGCTGATGCGCATCCAGGCGGAACACAACAAGGCCGAGATTCAAGCAAAGCTGAAGATGTTGAACAGAAAACAGGATCTGGATAGACAGCGCCAAGAGCTCGAGTGGAAACAGGAATCATTGGAGCTGGAGACTCAGATGGCCGTTCAAGAAATTCAAGAGGAAGTCGTGGAAAGGTTTGAAAGAGAACTGGATGACAGCGCTGCAGAAGACGGCCCACCAAATGAACCACAAGCACAGCAAGCAGTGTTGGAAGAACAGAGGATGCTGTCTCAGGAGGGTAATGAACAGAGATCCTCAAGTGGAGCAAGACCGATGCCAACCTCACCTGGCATGCCTCCCAGTGAGTCGCACGCAGCAGCAGCGACTGGACCTGCTGGAGGTAGCTTGAATGTGGAGGCACCAAGTTTCCAGCCACGCGGCCAGCCTCCCGATCATGACCAACAAGATCAAGACGACAACACAACAAATGTGTTGAAAGGTCTCTCCGAGCTGCTGGTGGAGCAGAGCAAGCGCGCCCGTCTACCAGCTATCGAGCCAGATGTGTTTTCTGGAGAAGAGGAGAGGTACCATCTGTGGATGAACAACTTTGAAACATACATCGAGAACAGGACAGCCTGCCCGCAGGAGCGTCTACACTTTCTGTCCAGATACACAAGAGGAGAAGCCAGATCGATGATTGAAAGCCTGCTGCACCTGAATACTACAGATGCATACGACAATGCCAAGAAGAAACTCCATGATAGGTACGGCAACACCTTCATAACTGCCAATGCCTTCCGCAAGCGCATCCATGAGTGGCCCGCAGTTCGACCCGGCGACGGGAAAGCATTGAGACAACTGGCTGACTACCTCGAGAGCTGTAAGACAGCATCAAGACATGTGAGTGGACTGGCCTCACTGGACTCAGTGGATGAGAACAACGTGATTCTCAAAAAACTGCCACGATACATCGTCGACAGGTGGAGACGCGTGGTTGACGTCAGGTTGTACGAGCCACAAGAAGGTTGTTCTCCCGGCTATCCGTCGTTTGCAGAGTTCGCGGACTTCCTCAGCAAGGAAGCAAGAGTGGCGTGCGGCCCGGTATTGGACAGGTCCGACGAAGCTGGTGGAACAAAACGAACGACCAATGCTGGCCAACGCAGGAAGGAGAACGCGCGCACGTTCTTCTCGTCCGTTTCGTCCGATGGGAGGACATCAGCACCACGTCAAGAGTCAGATAATGCACGACAGACAGACAGAACTGCCAGACTCTGCAGGATCTGTTCGTCACTGCATCCTGTAGAATCCTGCCAGACATTCAAGAACATGTCAGTGTCCGAGCGACATGACGCTGTAACACGACTTGGGCTGTGCAGAGGGTGTTTGTGCAGAGGGCACATCTGGAGAGACTGCCGAAGTCGGCGAAGCTGTGACAGATGTGGACGCTCTCATCCGACGTTGCTTCATGACGACGCAAGGGCAGGAACGCGAGGCGCGTCGACAGGACAAAGGATGGCAGCAGCAGTAGGTGACAACAGAAGACAATACAAGTCACACACGAACAGATGTACTCAGACCCAAGCTACGTCCCTGAAGGTTGCGGTTGAAGGTGAAGGAGCTGAACGCAACGCCTCGTTCGTGCCACCATGCTCTCACACCATGATCGTGCCGGTCATTCTGCGCAACGAGCTGGAACCGTCACAACAGCTGACAGTCTATGCTGTGCTAGATCCTCAATCGGATGCCTGTTTCATTCAAGAATCAACGCTCAGACAGGTCTCTGGACAAGGAGAAGACGTGACTCTTCAGCTCAGCACCATAGCGGGCAAGACCAGAGTTGTGACCAAGAGAGTGACAAACCTGTCAGTTCAGGGACTGAATGCACCGGACCGTATCATGCTACCTGCGACGTATTCTCGTGATGAGATACCGGCAGAAAGGTGGCTGATACCGAAGCGAGAAACAGCTCGAAACTGGAGGCATCTGGCTCATCTGGAGGAAGAACTGCCCCCATACTTCCCTGAAGCTGAAATTGGCCTGCTCATGGGTGTGAACTGCGCACGCGCATTGAAGCCGAAAGAGGTGGTTTCAGTTGACAGTGACGATCCCTGGGCAATGAGAACGGAGCTGGGGTGGACCATCGTGGGTATTACGCACGGGCCCAACATCACTTCGACGTGTCACTGTGCGCGCGTAGGGCCAGATGAAGTGTCTGTATGCCACTTTGCGTTCAAGACGCGTGTGCAGGAAGTGAGCCCGATGCAAGTGGCACGCATGCTGGAAGCGGACTTTCTGGATGAAGGCGCTCACAAGAAGGTCTCTCAGGACGACCGGAAGTTCCAGAAGGTGATGAAGGAACAGTTCCACCAGCGGGAGGATGGTCATGTTGAGGGACCACTGCCTCTGAAGGATCCAGAAGTGACATTTCCAGACAACAGGTACCTGGCCATAAAACGTCTACACAGTCTGAAGAGGAGGTTTGCCCGAGATCCTGGTCTGAAGGACGCCTACGAGAACTCCATGAACGAGTCGCTCGCAGCAGGATACACTGAATGTGTCCCAGACGACGACGACGTCAAAGAGGGAAAGACCTGGTACGTTCCCCATCACGCTGTCGTTCATCCGAGAAAGGACAAGATACGTGTAGTTTATGACTGCAGCGCGGAATATCAAGGTGCTTCATTGAACAACGAGCTGCTCCAGGGCCCGGACTACGTGAACAGTCTGGCAGGAATCCTGGTGAGATTTCGGAAAGAAAGAGTGGCTCTGAGCTGCGACATCAAGGCGATGTTTAACCAGGTTGGTGTCAGCAAGGAGCACAGGAATCTGTTGAGATTTCTGTGGTGGGAACAAGGCGACACGAGTCGAGAGCCGGCTGAGTTCAGGGTCACCACTCATCTGTTTGGTGCGGTGTCATCGCCTGCGTGCGCGATGTACGCGCTGAACATGATAGCAGAAAAGTATGAACCGACACACGGAAGAGAAGCGTCCGAATTTGTACGTAGAAACTTCTACGTTGATGACGGCGTCACAAGCGTGGAAAGCTCGGATGCTGCTATACGGCTGGCCCGTGACACTGTCCAGCTGTGTGCAGAAGGTGGTTTCACGCTTCACAAGTTTGTGTCGAACGAACCGTCGGTGCTAAAAGCACTGTCGCCTGGTGCCACTGGGTGCGACCCATCGGTGGAAGTTGGTCGCCAGCACTCAGGTCAGTTCGAGCAGGCCCTGGGTATCAAGTGGGATACGGTGGAAGACACGCTGAGCTTTCACGCTGTGATTCCGGACAAGCCGATGACCAGAAGAGGGATTTTATCATCAGTTTCTTCGCTGTATGATCCACTGGGTCTTGTCTCCCCAGTGATCTTGGAGGGAAAGAGAATCATCAAGCAGTTGTGCTGCGACGGATACAGCTGGGATGAAGCTGTCCCAGAAGAGACGGTGGCCCGTTGGTTGGATTGGAAGAGAGACGTGCTCCTTCTCTCAGAGACACCGATACCAAGATGCTACAAACCTGGCGGCGGCAAGATGAAGCTGTACGAACTGCATCATTTTTCTGACGCCAGTACCGTCGGATACGGGCAGTGCTCCTATCTCCGTATGAAAGACGAACACGACCTGATTGGGACGTGTCTTGTGATGAGCAAGTCAAAGGTGACTCCCAGGCGATCGACTACAATTCCTCGACTGGAGCTGATGGCGGCCGCTCTCTCCGTGAGAGTTGGATGCTTTCTGCAAGAGGAGCTCGACATCACAGGCATCGAGCACTACTACTGGACAGACAGTCAGGTCGTTCTAGGATATATACACAACGAAACCCGGCGATTTCACGTGTTTGTCGCGAACCGCGTGCAGCAGATCCGACAACACACCACTCCCGATCAGTGGAGATATGTACAGTCAGATGAAAACCCAGCAGATCTGGCCTCCCGTGGACTGCAGGCAGCGGCCATCAAGGACTGTGATCTCTGGTGGCGTGGACCGAAGTTTCTTCAAGCAGGAGAACTTCCGAATGAAGCAGCTCAGATTGAACTCCAAGATGACGACCCGGAGGTCAAGAAGAAAACAGTTCTGACTACGCGCTCCAAACAGGTCGAAGGTTTTCCAAACATGTCTGACCGGCTAGTCGTGTTCTCTAGCTGGTTCAGGGCAAGACGAGCGATCGCGATCTGTATCAGATACGGGAAACGTCTGCTGGAGCGAGTGAGACAAAAACGTCAAAGCAGTGACGCTGAACTTGTTCCATCGTTGACAGAATCACCAGTTGGAGCAGAAGAGATGAAGAGAGCTGAGCTCGTCATACTGAAGAGTGTGCAGCAGCAGGTGTTTGGGGACGAAGTTGCGACTCTGACGATACCTCAGCCCTCAACTGAAGCTCGAGTGAAGAAACGGAGTCATCTGTACCGACTGGATCCCTTCGTTGCAGATGACGGACTCCTGCGCGTCGGAGGAAGGCTGAAGAGGAGTGGACAGCCCTTCGACGTGGTACATCCAGTGATCTTGCCAAAGGTTCATCACGTGACTCGTCTTGTCGTTGCAGCCTACCACGAGAGGACGTGTCACTCAGGAAGGGAGCTGACGCTGAGCGAAATCCGGATGTCTGGATACTGGATTGTGAAAGGAAGATCGGCTGTGGGCCGTCACATCAAGAACTGCATCAAGTGCAGGAGGCTGAGAGGAACGCCTTGCAGTCAGAAAATGGCAGATCTTCCCAGCGAGCGTGTAGACGAAGCGGAGCCATTCACCCACTCAGGTGTTGACTGCTTCGGACCATTCTTCGTCAGAGAACGGCGCAGTGAAGTCAAACGATGGGGGATCCTATTCACATGTCTAAGTTCACGGGCTATTCATCTAGAGACCCTCAACTCAATGACGGCGGATGCTTTTATCAATGCCTACCGCCGATTCACCTGCCGAAGAGGAAAGGTTCGAGCTCTGTATCACGACCGAGGTACGAACTTCATCGGAGGAAGAGGACATCTAGAAGCTGCTTTGTCTGAGATGGACCACGACAACATCCGGCGCACTCTGTTAAAGGACAACTGTGATTGGGTACAGTTCAACCCCATCACACCCAAGGCCAGCCACATGGGAGGTGCGTGGGAGCGGCAGATACGCACCGTCCGCTCTGCGCTGAGCAGTCTCCTTCAAGATCTCGGTCAGCAGCTGGATGACGAGCTGCTCAGAACTCTACTGACGGAAGCGGAAGCAGTAGTCAATAGTCGCCCTCTCTCTTGTGTCAGTATGAATGACACTAGTGTAGTTGAGCCGATCACTCCCGACCAGCTGCTCACCTTAAAGTCAAAGGTAGTGCTCCCTCTCCCTGGGAAGTTCTGCCGGCCTGACATCTACGGGAGACAGCGCTGGCGCCGGGTCCAGTACCTCGCCAATCAGTTTTGGCAGCGCTGGCGGAGAGAGTTCCTTCCGTCTCTCCAGGAGCGACGAAAGTGGAATCATCCAGAGCCGAACGTCAGTCAGGACGACATCGTCATTGTCGTCGACGAGGACACTCCACGCAACAGGTGGCCGCTCGCACGAGTGGTCGACGCGCACACAGGTGCCGACGGTCTAGTGAGGAGTGTGCGTGTGCGCATTGGCAACAGTGAATATGACAGACCCGTCCACAAACTGATTCTCCTCGTGAAGAGCGGGGATGGAGATTCCGCGACGGGGAGCCGTTGTGCTGAGTAGCGTGATTTGGTCGGAGCGCGACCGATAAGACCGAGACGCTTGTGAGCGCTGATACCCGGTCTGAACTTTGGTGCATTGTGCTCCGCTGTGCGGATGGCAGTACGACGGCGCCCGTGTTTCATATTGCTATGTCAGAAGTGATATTTCGTTACTTTCTCGCTCGACAGTGTACGGCGTTACGTGGGCTCGCCTGTGGCTACTGACGAACATTCGGTTGTTCGCGCGTCCCGTCGCAATGTGACGTTGCCGCGCGACGGCGGCCCATAACCGCCTCAGTGCGTAAGGAAAATTAGGAGAGCTGTGCCTAATTTTGGGGAGCCATGTTCCCGCCGTTACGGGTTGTTTAGGTTTTGTTATACAAGAGCCTGAGTGAGGGCTGCTTTGTCTAAACGACTGCATTTGCTATTTTCAGGTGACCGCCCCAGACGATTTGTCATGATATGTGACGCATGTTGAACGGCATCAGAGCTGTCCTGATCGGGGCGCAGTGAAGTACGGTTTGCTGAACAGTGATTGCCACTTGGACCGATACTGAAGCCGAAATATTATTGCCGGCTATACTGACGGTGCAGTTGGCTGTATCACCTTACTGAGTCACTGACATTTGTACTAAAGTCGCCTATCGTCCCGGACGAAGTGAGTAGCCATACACTGACACAAATCGTGTAATGCTTATTCGCTCTGTCATAAATGCATATTCGTTTGTCACAGTGCCAGCTGGCTACCTATCTGAAATTGTCTCTTGCGGACTGATTAAGAAATAATTTTCGTTGTTAAATTGTCAGTTTATTGGGTATGTGCAGTTCACGTGTTGTTGTGGCTGTTCCCCCCAGTGACCTTGGGCGAATCGTAAGCTACATTGAGTTAATTGTCTTTTGTATGTGTTTTCACAGTTTTCTACGGTCATCACGGTCCACACTGATCGCTGCAAGGTGTCACTACTGAATGATCCCAATACATACTGACCGACTAACACTTTGTAGTAAAAACCGGTGGCCAGATCAACTAGGTACCCACCTAGGTACCTATCAAATATCCTGGATCAGATAATGATAATGGGATTAGGATGGTAGGGAAGGATGCATATTCCCAGTGAGATTTGAAATGGGCTTTGAACAGATTGCTGGAGGTAAAGAGGACAGCATAACTCAGTGCAGTAAGAGCTTTCCAGTCATTGATGGTGCTGAGTTTCTCTTGTTTTGGGTCCTGAGGCAGGCTGAGGTTTCAGCAGCTTCAAACCATGGCCTCTAGTGAAAACGAGGCTGCCATCTTGAAACCAAAAACTGGCCTGGCCAAACAGAGACTCCAACTGCCAAAATCTGGAAGATAATGAATACCTATGCCTTTTCTCTCTTTGCTGGAGGAAGCATTTCAATTTGATCACTTGACTGCTCATTGCTCAACACTCATTTCAGTTTGTTGCAGTATAGTAGGTAATAGGTATACCTACTGATAGCCCAACTACTTTGACTTGGATGCTTGAATTTCCAGTCTAGCCAGTTCCTGTCCCCTGGCTCTAAATTATGAGTGCTTTCCAGAATCTCTGAATATTGTTTTCTTTTGCAAAGCAAGAGTATTGTTATGAAAACGAAGATAACACTTTTATGCTGTAAAGCATGACAACTGAATATTTATGCTATTTTATGACAAGATGATATACAGCTGGAAGCAACCAATGAAACTGCCAGTTACCATCCCTCTCTGCACATTGTGTATTGCTCATGCGTCTGTGTAAATAGCTTATGGAAAATCATGTACTTTCCTTTATGTTTTACCTTTGAACTTGATTTGGTTAGGAAATCATCACCAGTTGCTGCCAAAAGCTGAAGGCAAGAGGTATTATGGATATTTATGACAAAAGGCATGCGCACAGTGCAATACTTATATTGTTATTTTGTCAACTGAGCCAGAGCTTGAATGCAGGTTACATTATTTGATAATTAAGGATTTGCATATTTTTAGTAATGTCTTAACTGGTGCAATAAAAAATGGATGTATATTTGGCTCGCTGGTTATATATAGATCTTTGAACACATAGAGTAGCACTGACTATTATTGAACTCCTCTGTCTGGCAGCCATGGACTTTGGCAGCAGCTCCCGGCCGAGTTCCAGCTCGTTCGACTCGTACTCGCCCGGCTCGTCGCTCAATGCGCCGCCCGGCGGTCCCGCCGGCTCCGGCGGCACCGACAAGGAGCTCGAACAGTTTGTCATGATGGAGCAGCAGAAGGCACAGTTCCAGGCACAGGTAGGTACTGCAACTTCAGCGATGTTATCATACTCTGTCATTCATCGTTTCAAACGCCAACTGCCCGAGTGACCTGCCTAATGCTCGTCCCCATATCTTCACTACGAAGCGAAAATGCTCATATATCCCAAATAACCATATCACTGCATTTTCTGCCTGCGTCAGTCTTCACCGACCCCATGGACTGCTGTCCCGACTGAACCTCCGCTCACCAGACCCGCGCCCGTGGCAGGTTCACAAACTGAACGACGTCTGCTGGGACCGATGCGTGGACAAGCCGTCCAGCAAGCTGGACTCGCGGCAAGAGAACTGCCTCTCCAACTGCGTGGACCGCTTCGTGGACGTGTCGTTGGTGATCACTAACCGGTTCGCGCAGCTGATGCAGAAGCAGCAGGGCATTTAGGGTAGGCGGGGACAGGGAGGGGGTCGCCGCCGCCGGCTGGCCGGGTACTCGCCGTGCTGTCTGAGCCACTGGGCCGCGGGAGCGACCGCCAGCTGCGGCGCCGGACACAATGGACATCTCTTCTGTTGTTTTATTATAGTGTAAGAGAATACATGTGACTGTATGTTGCGTAATGCGTATCAGCCAGGTATGAAGCGCCTTGGAGTTGGACACGATATTGAATTCGTACCTGTGCTGAAATGCCAGCTTGGTAATTGATGAAATGCCAACTATGATATGATGCCGACTTGTGAAAGTCACTGAACATGGGTTTCGTATATATTTCGCCATACATATGGAATCAAGGAATGTATGCGCCTTGGCTGTTTCTGGTTCGAGTGCACGATAATATAGAGCGTTTGTCACCGCGTAAATTAGCTCAGAACAAAGGATAACAACGATACGTGAGATGCGCTTTGGAGCCGAGTGACGACACGACGGACCGCCATAGCACGATGTGCACACGGGAAGCGTTTTGCTAACAGCAATAGCCTACTCACAGACTGGGAGTACACCCTACACGGCACACCGGGCGTAGATGTCGGCGCCACGAGGGAGCCATGCTATACCACGACTGTCTTTGGCCCGGTCGTTGGCCGGTATAGCGACACGGTGCGCCCTTAAAGGACACCTCTCCAGACCACCGGCAGCGACCGGCTCGCGCCGCTCAGCCGGACTTGACGGGCGGGTTCTGCTTCAGCTGCAGGATCAGACTGCGCATGCGCGACGTGTCCTTGGTGTTGCGGCTGACCTTGGGGTTGAACTCGCACAGTTTGGCGATCTGTTCCCAGTCGGCGGCCCGCTCGGTCGACTTGGCCTCGCCGCTGACCAGCTCCTTTTCGGCGGCCCTGCCGTGACCCGGACACAGGTCAGGTCACACGGAACGGCCAGGTCGGCCCACGGTAGCGACAGATTCGCTACGACTTACCCAAACACAGACCGGGACCATGAGAGATTCAGGTCCATGGCTAGGGTTCAGGGACATGGTAGTGGCTAGGTAGCAAAGGCACGATCAGAGGCCTCTTGCACCAAACTACCTAGCTAGGTAAAATCGAAAAACCGATTTCAGAATAAGCTAATATAAAGGTGGTAAATTTGTTTGCAGTAACCCAATACATAATCCTACATGTGCTTGCTAAATTTTGCACGCAAATTGTTAGATTTGAGACTTGGACTGGGTATACGATGCAAAATAATCCAAGCATTGGTGCAAGAGGATTTTGGTGCAAGAGGCCTCAGATCAATATTTAGGGTGGCTGTTAGTGTAAATGTTTTCGGTTTAGTAAGGCTGGGTTACGGAGGTAAGCATTATCACGCCAAAAACACGGACCCTGATCGATTTACATAAATTGTTCAGCGCTATTGACGATGGATGACTTCTCCCGTCTCCGTTCAAGATCAATGGCCGCTCTTCTTAGAGCTGGCAGCATCCACACAGAAGATCATCACGCCATCAAGCTTGGGTGAAGCACGGGAGACAGTAAGGCGCACCGCGACGAGCCACGCCTAGACTGGAGTCAAAAACACTCCACTAGAAACTTGGTGCAGGTCACACCCGGCAGAAGTCAGCCATGTGAGGTGCAACGATTTACAAACCCATGACCCATGACCAAGTGTTCACAAAAATGCATGCGGATCTAAATACAGCTGTCATGTACTCGTCGGATGACGGATTACGTGTGCATCATGCAACTAGCTAATCAAACGTGCGACATCCAAAATTGCAATGGTGAATTTAATCCAACTCCAAAACGAAGAAGTGCAGATAAATCATATAAAAGGCAACATCTGAAATAAATTTAATCGACACAGCGTATGTTCTGCTACAGATGTGCACTATCGTTGCATGCATTTTTCAATTTTGAACGGCGAACTGATGGATTTTGCCGATATTCGCCCAGGCGTCTATGAAATCAACCACTAATCGCCAAAAAGCCGCGAATGTCCGCTAGTACATATTCGAAAATAAATCATTGGTCGTCTTCCTTTCGCCGCACCCTGCGTGGGAAACACGTGCTCCTGGTACCGAACCCCCACAACAGCCTCGGGAGAGGGAGGGAGAGGGAATATCATGCGGGGCGCCGTTTTCCGCGCGGGCGGTGTAGTCACTCACAGGGCCGCCTCTCTGTTGCAATGCAAGGAAGCGCAACACATCAGACACGTGTATGTGTAAGCCGGTGGTGGTGGCTCGACTCACACGCGCGCATACGCACAGCGGCAGACCGCAGCCCCATATAGAGAAAAATGTGTGGACGGGCAGACAGCCACCGAAAATATCGGCAGACACCACTCTACAGCTAAAGCCAATCAAAAGACAAATCGAAACGCCGGAAAACGTAGGTAAGATACCCATCAGTAAATGAAAACAATTCGTGGATGTGATGAGTAAATATTCAAATTCGCAGGAATGAAGCGAAGTTAGACGTTAAAAGTACACTTTAATCAGTGCAACAAGAGACTCGAACGATATTAATACAACAAGCGATGATATATCAAAACCAAGCCTTATAACTCCTTCCTGCTTTAAATCTCTCTGCCTCCCCCCCCCCACCATAAAGAGCCGCTCGCTATCCGAGGGCCCGCCGCGAAGTAACACACACGCTCTCTGACGTCGGTCGTTACCTGTTGGCGGCGCGCGTCTTGGAGACCGACTCCTCGTGCTGCTTGTACCAGTCCTCAAGCTCCTTCTTGGCCGCCTCCCGCCACTCAGCCTTCTTACGCTCCTCCTCCTCATCTGAGGAGGGATGGGGCAACAGAGGTCAGCAGGAGGAGAAACGAGGGTTGGGCGTAACAGAGATCGGGGGAGTTGTAAAACCAATGACAAAAGGACAGGAGTGTCTGAGCCGAGGTCGGAAGGTCAGAAGGGCGTCGACCATTAAAATCAGCCATAAGAACACCGCTCGGCGGATGCTAAATATTGAGAGGATGGGCGTTATTGCGAAGATGCAATAATAATCGTCGAGAACGAAAGCCATAACGTATTCCCTAGGGTCACAACAAAGACTTAAAATATACCTGGCATTTGGCAAAGGTTTGTTACCAGACACTCCTATGCGTTCAACTGTCGGAATTTCTATCATAAGAAACAATGATTCATTTCAAAACAAGTTCATTCATTCAATCCGAATGAACAGAACACGCATTAGGATGGCTAATCTCTATTACAGACTCATCAACCGGACCCGGTCAGGTGACTTTGTCCGGACGGGGCGTCAAATGCTAGTTGAAGGTGCGTTCAGCCATAGGTTCAGCGTTTCCAGTTGCAGCCACACACCTTTCTCCTCCAGCCGTGCCTTCTGCTCCTCGCGCCAGCGTCGGATCTTCTCCGGCTCTATCCGCGGCACGGGGGTCGGGGACGGGGCCGCCGCTGAGGGTGGGACGGCACGGTCACTGATCAGACACAGGGACAGCTGGTGGTGTAGGGGGAGGCTCTATTCTAAGGACCGGGGTTGGAGACGGCGCCGCCGCTATGGGCGGGACTGAAGCTGGTCACTGATCAGACAAAGGTGGTGTAGGGGAGGTTATAGAGTTGATAGGCAAACGACAGAACAGTGCTAATCGGGACGAAAGAAGGACAGTAAAAGAAAGAGGGAGGGGGAACATAGGGAAGAACACATGCATCTCCGTATAGGCGGTGTATAGAGAAGTCCGTGAGGGGGGGGGGGGAATAACAGAATATATCGGAGAATCGAGAGCATTCATATTATGACGCAGCAGCAGCGAACAATAGCACACATGCCACGAACATCAGAATAAAATATACAGTAGGTCATGCAGACTCCCGCAGTTGGATACTGCGTCATGGTGTTCCGGAGTGTGGCCAACGTATAGCAATGGTGTGCCGAACTGACAGACAGGGGGAGGGGTATCGGTGTCGGTATCGGTGTCGGTAACGGTGGCAGGGGGGGGGGGGGCTGACGGTGACGGTGATGAAAGTTGTAACTATGACGCCGGAGCCTAACTCACCTGGTGCCGGCGCCTGGGGCTGGACGTCACCGGCCGGTCCCGCGTCCAGCGGAGCTGAAACGGCACGCGCACACACAGAGCGGCACACGGTCACAGCGGGCAGCGGTAGGCGACACAGAACACGACACGGACCAGCCAGCCGGCGACTGAAGCGAACGAAACAGGGCGGAATGAACTGATCTGGTAGCACAGCACACTTTAGCCACTAGCCAGTCCCCGACTAAACTGAACTGAAACGAAATGAACAGATCGAAATAATTGCTCTGGTAACACAGCACGGCGCAGCACATAGTTCAGCCGGCCCAGGATTGCAGGCAGCGTGACAAGAGACGTTTTAGCCGGGCACGGGTAACGAAGGCTTCCATGACCGGTCCACCTGAGCTTTGAACAGCAGTATTAACAGCGAGAAGTCATAGTCGTCAGCGTGCAACATGTCATTTCGCCTTGCTTTGTCATTCGGGTTAGCAGGCTTAGCGCCGAGGCGAATCACAAATCATTCAAAGAGTCATCAGTTGGGACTCTGGAATGGAATCATGGGTTTGGACTCTTTCTGGGTTTGGGTTTGGTTTGGGAGTTTTGGGTTTGGAGGCTTTTGAGCAGTTGTGCCAAGCATAGAGCAGAAAAGCATGGACGACATGCTTGCATGTTATAGAGCAGCGCAATTTTGACACACAGATTGAAGATCATGCAGTGCTTCAGTGTAACTCAGTGAGTTTATGAAATAAAAAGCAAGTGTTTGCACTTAGCGTCGTGTATAACCGTGAGGATATACTCGTAAAGCCTGAGGTAAAAGCCTGAGGTAAAGCCTGATATTTGTGTGAGAGCATAACAAATTTGATGGATTTCATGGAAAAAGAAATTAACATAAAAAGCACAACGTAGACAATAGCCATCAGTTTTCGATACAAAATTGATAGCCTCTTTCGTGTGGTCAGACCTTTTGCGTCCCCAGTGGTCACCTAAGACTTTCGTCTCGACATATCACCAGTCATACCCATGAGGCCACTGTCCTGCATCCATTAGACATTAATTGAAGGGTCACTGAGAAGACACTGACCCACAATAGAGACCGAGCAGCTACACTTCTCCTCTCCCCAACTGGTCACTGACCTGAGATCGGGTCAAAGCCCGCGTCCCCCCGGCCCTCCGTTCCGAGGATCTCGAAGCCTTGGTTATCCGGCGAGGCGCCGGCATCCAGCGTCTCCTCATCTTTGGGTCAGACCACCGCCAACACAGTGCTACTCAACCCAATAATGGCTGACACAGAGCCAGGCAAAGGCTTTAAGCTGGTATCATTGGGGCTAGTAAAGAAAATATCATGTTTGTGTGAACTATGGGGGCATTCCATGTGTCAATGATTTGTGCTGTTTTTTTTTTTTTTTACTGATAAATCTTAACACTTAACAGTAACAGATTAATATAAGCACTGGCTGATGTAATCATGCAGCTAACTGCATTGCTGGCAATGAACCGGGTAGCTGGCATAAACTTAGGTTTTGATTTTTGAAAGGTGTTTCCAGACACAGAAACATAAAACAAACTTAATTCAGCTAATACTACATTTCCTTCCTACCAAGGCATAAATTACCTTACTAGGTACCATTGTAATCCTATCTCAGCTAGCCAGCCAACTATGGAGAAGGACTTAACAGAAATCAAGTGCAAATCAATAACCACAGTGGATTCTTTGACCAAAACTGAACAGTAAAACATATGACTCTGTTAGATCCTAGATCAAGATGGACTGGAACTTAGTCACCCTTTTCATCTTCATGCTGATGCACACATCTACTAGAAACTGATTCATAGCAAATGGTTTGTAAATGAAAAGCTTCTGTAACACAAATGAAAATTAGTGTAAAATGAACAAATTGGTGCTTTTGCTACTGCTGGACTTTCATTAAATTGGTTAACGTTGAAAATTTGAAAGTGATAATCCAGCCTAGCTTTGAGAGTGAAAGGGAAATTAATGATACCTATTAAAAAAGCAACCAAACATAGGTCAAGTTCTACTGTTCTGTAAATCAAAGAAGCAGGGATATCAAAAGTATTAAATACATATATGGCAATGGTTATGTGCCTAAATCACAAAATGTACCAGAAAGTGTGCTCTAGCTTTATACACCTTTATGAGTGTTAATGGATAAAACATGCAGTGCACAGATCATGCAAATAATGATCATTCAAGGTCTAATGTGATCATAAGTTAAGCATAAACTACAGAGCAACTAGCATTATCATTTATCAGTATCACAATCAAAAATATAAATCATGCTCATTGCCACCAAATTGTGCAAACAGCATGCTAAAACATAGCTTGGTTAAAATAGTAAAACCCAATGAACAAGGGTGGCAAAGGTGCACAGTACACAGATTGTAAGGAAAATCTTATCAATTTTTATATTTGCTGGATATCAGAAAGCAGTAATACCTAACTAAAAGCATTTGTAGGTAATCTATGTATGTAATTGGTTCCAGTCAAAAGTCAACCAAGACAAGATGGAGTTGGACAAAATGACTCAACCATGACTGGAACTGCTGGCTGACCTGCAGGTGCTGCTGCCGGCTCAGTGCCGGTGATGATGTCATCCCCAATGCCTGCCAGCTGGTCCTGCTCACGAGCCAGGAACTCAGCTGCTGGGTCAGTGCTGCTATCAAAATCCATGATGTGGCGATCTGCAAGAAGAACGGATGGGTATTAGTTAAAATGACTAAACTTATAAAATGAGTCAAGTGATTTAAACATATAAAAAGATCCGAAATGAAAATAAAAAACAGAAAAATCAATCAATTATGCCTTGAAACAGAAAGAGCACCAGCAAGGAATACTAGGAAACAATGGGAAGTGGGCAAGATAGCTGGCCCCAATAATAAGATGAAAATTGTGAGTTGTGAACAAGGCTATATAAACTGTTGTAAGGTAGGTGAAGCTTTAAAAAATCAAATAGGTTGACGCAGCCGCACCCGGATAAATGGACAATTCCGCGATTTTTGCAATCTAATTGTAAATGATGAGGGGGTGTAACCTAAAGCCGAACTAAGGTTTCATCGGCCTGAAGATGAGTTACACTGTTGATGACGTAATAAATTTTCCTGTTTCGAGCCTGAAGTATCGAACTAAATTGATGGAAAAATTGTGAAGCTTAGCTTTTACTGGAATAATTTATTCTTTATGAGTTACCCATTATGTTAGATTCATACTTTTTTTACCGATATCTAACCCATCTAAGAAACATTACATTGAAATAAAACATATTATCTTGCTTTGCTACTGACGTCACCAAATTCAATCAAAGCAACATTTTTTTATTGAGCGGAAGTGACTAATGAGGTCAGAAAAGGCGCCCCAGCGACAGATACTGACGCAGCAGTATCTGTTCAGCACTTGTCTAGTTTTGGAGGTTGCTTGGCAATTCGTAAATAGTTGAGCAGTTTTTGCCAGCTTCGTCAAGGTTGCCTGGCAACTTGTTCGCCCTCGGCGTTCCTGTAAAATTTAAAACACAAACTTGATTTTGATGGCTGTTGGGTTGTTGCCAAGAATCGCTGCCTGCTTGGGTATGATTGCACGTGTGGGATTTGATGTGCTATTAGATCAAGATAGCCCCGTGGCGAATTGTGGTTGTGATAAGAGAGGGTTCACGTCGTTGTGGGGTTAAGTCAATTTGCTGTCTGAAGATGAAGCCCGCTAATGCAGACGCTGCTGAGGCTGCCAAAGATACAAGTATCATTGAAATATTGGCTGATGATAGAGATGACGATAGGGTGAAGACATTTATTTTGCATGGTGAAGACCACACCCTTGGGAACTCATTACGATGGGTGCTACTGAAGGACAAGGATGTTCAGTTCTGTGGATACACAATACCTCACCCATCACAGCGTGAAGTGCATCTGAGAATCCAAACGTACAAGAAACCAGCAGTTGATGTATTACGCGAAGCATTGGTTCGTCTCAGCGAACTTACCCAGATGATAGCTGACAAGGTCAAGGTATGTCCATTGTCATATATCTTATGTCATACAAACACAACCTATATGAAATGGTCCTATCGCTCTTCTAATGTTAGGTACCTACTTATATTGAACAATAATTTTGTTTTCTTTTATGAATAATTAGCTTAAGGTGTTGTATGGTGATATATCACCATTGTTTGCCAGAAAAATTTAGTCAGCTACCTTTGCCTTACTTTTTCAGGACAAAGCAGAAGCATTCAAGGCAAGCACTGAAGAGGCTTCTCCCATGCAGTCATGAAGAACTTCATCCTTTTCCTGGTGTTTGCTACTCACTGTAACCATTTTGTGTACAATAAACAACTTTGTCAATGTTCTCTCCTTTCTGTTCTTATGCATCTGACACATATTATGTGCTTATGCTTAAACACCATGTATTTGTTATTCAAGTGGTGCATCAACTTCAATTGGTGTATGTTAGTCTAGTCACATGATAATCATGTAGCCACTAATTTGCTTCTTTCTATAGAAAAGAGTAAGAGAACAGTGTACCCATACCCCAAAATCAAAACATTATGATGATTTTTTCAATTATTTTCTCCCTGATGCATCAGGTAGATCGGTATCTACCGCGAACCTGCCAACTCCCATGAGATATTCAATGTTTTTCAATGGTGATTACCTGTCGAACGTTCGAGCATAGCTTTCGAGCTTTTAAATAATGCTGCGCGACATCGAAAGCAATGAGCTGTGATATCTACATGTGAGCCATCGGGTCTGGCTGTTTGTAACTGCGCGCATTTCGTTCCCGAACCCCGCACTTCAGTATCAGAGTCCGACGCCACGACCACTGACCAAAGTGAAAAATCTACAGTCGCGGACAGTCATATGCTGCAACTTCAAGTATATTGCAGGATATGTTTGCAGATAAAACAAAAATACTCATGGCGATACAACTACACAATATGTTACAGGATCACAAGCAATAAGCATACAGTCGTAGGCACACAACATAATCGGTGCGGGCCACAAAAGATACAAACATCCACTCATTTCTCGCACTTGACAGATAAACGAGGTTTAAATAACTGGCTTCTCCAAGTACCGCCATGATCGCACTTCGCAGGTGTTCCTTATTTCGTTAACATGCATAATATGTCAAGCACCCAACACACATGATTACAGCCTTGTTGGGAAGTTGCTCCCCTACAAACAGCACTTTCCGTCCATCTGATGCCTCTGTCAGCTCACCTGAGCCGGCCGCGCGGCTCGTTTCGACACACGATGCAGGCGCCAGGCCGAGCGGCCGGCAGGCAGACCCTGTGGAAGGCATGTCGGCAGTAAAAGGTCACCAGATCGGCGGCCTTGGCCGGATCTCGGTGCAGCAGGCCTCCGCCGCACACGCAGCACGCGGCCGCCGCGCCCACGGGCACGGCGCGCGCGCCGCAGCGCTGCAGGCGCGCGTGCAACTGGAACCGGTCACTGACCAGGATGCGCCGACAGCCGTCCTGCAGGTCCACCTGCACCTTGTAATCGTGCAGGATCTGCACTAGCGCGTCCCGCAGGCCCGGGATCGCCAGACCGTCCTCAATTCGTCTGATCAGACGCCGCGGGTCCACGTGCGTGCCAATGTTGAGCAGCAGCTCTTTCACCATGACGGGCTGGTCGAGGCAGTAGTTGATGAGGTCATCCCAGAGATCCGAGTCATCGTGCTCCTTGCAGAAGGCAATGGCCTGTTTGATGTCGGCCAGCTGGTTCATGATGAGCTGGAGCGCCTCCCGGGTGGCGCCTGTTCGGCCCAGCAGGTACACCGTCTCAGGGATCAGCATGCGCGTCTGGCAGACGTGCAGTGCTCGCTGCAGCGAGTACTCGCCGCTGGCGCGCAGCAGCTCCATCAGCCGCCCGCGCTCGTACTCGGCCGAGAGCTCCACCAGCCGGTCGTGGTACTTGCCGCTGAGGTGGCGGTGCCGCTGGTACAGCCGCCACAGGTACCGGTACAGCACGGCCGGCAGCGCGGTCAGCTCGGCGACCACGCGCTCCGGCGGCGACTCCTCGGGCCGCTCCGTCAGTAGCTCGACGGTGCGCGCCTCGTCCACGCGCGCCAGCGCTGCCGCTCTGTCGGCCACTGCCGCGTGTAGCTCATGCTTGGTCACCAGGTCGAACACGCCCGGGTGGCCCAGCTTGAGGTAGATGGCGAGCGCCTTGTCGTGCCGACACTGGTGTGTGTAGAGCAGCCCCAGCGCCTGCAGCAGACACGGGTTATCGGCGTCGTGCAGCAGCTGCTCCAGCGCGGCGTTCACCACGGCGTCACAGTGGTACAGACTCGGCGACCACTCGCGCACCAGGCGCAGGAACTCTGCCTGGTCGGTGCGCATGAAGTTGTAGAGCACCATCTCATACACAGTCGAGTCCAGGTGGAAGTCGCCGCGCGGCAAGTAACCGCTGATGGCCTTCAGCTGGCGCAGCGCCGCGAACCTGTACACCTCCTCCTCCCAGAGCGTCCGGTTGCGGCCGAAGATGGTGTGACACAGCGAGGCGGCCGTCTCGTACTGCTCCTCCTGCAGCAAACTGTCCAGGTACTTGCGGCCGACGTCCTGCAGGCAGTGGCGGCGCACGGCCGGCCCGGCCGCCTGTAGCTCGCGTAACGCCTCCTCGAACCGGTGGTGCTCCAGCAGCCACTCGATGTGGTCGTCTGTGTCACGAGGACGAGCTACGATCACATCGCTGGGCGCCAGCACGAAGAAGGTACCCTCGTCGGCCAGACAGTCCAGCCGGTACTGGTTGGAGGAGAAGTTCTGGAATCCGCGCACTGTCAGCTCGTCGGTGGAGAGCTCCTCGTAGTCCTCTGGCAGCGGGCGGATCACTCTCACCTGAGGTCGCGGCCGCGGCCCGCTGCCGCCGGTCTCGCTCTGAGTAAGGAGAACCAGCTCATCCCCGCACCCCGCCAGGCCACAGACTAGAAACTCGGTCCGGAATATGTGCGTGATCTCCATGTGAGTGCCGACACCGGAGGCGCGTGCCTCAGCGTCGCGTGGCTCACGGACCACGGCCATTTGGACGCAACGGCGCCATCCAACGAGCAGCCGGCGCGGGTCTCGCCAGAACAGGTGGCAGCGATGGTTGGCCGGTCGCTCTCCGACGTCGCAGCGGATCAGGCTGATGACGCGCTTCAGCTCGGTGTGGTAGACGCGCACCCCGCCGTTGGAGGCCCAGGCCAGCAGCGGGCCGCGCCAGCTGAGCGCCTGCACCGTCCCGTCACCCTCGTGGATGGTGGTGGCGCGCAGCCGCGTCAGAAACGTCTTCTCGTGCAGGACGACGCGGCTGTCTCCGACTGCGAACCGGCGGCCGGTGCCGGGGCGCGAGTACTGCGGATCCAGCACCACCGTCTTCACAGGCGCGTCGAACGTCAGACTGTGGCTGTTATCTCGCGAGTACAGGCCGTGCACACACACGGTGCCGTCGTCGGAGCAGCTGGCCACGTGCTCTCCGGCCTCGTCCGCGCTAATCTCGTTGACGCAGAGCGTGTGCGGCTGCCGCGCCGGCCGCACCCGGTTACCGAGGTGATCGAACACGTGCACGCGGCCGAGCCCAGTACCGACCAGCACCAGTTTGGGGTGGACACAGAGACAGGTGGCCGGCTCGGCAGCCAGCAGCAGCGCCAGGTCCGAGCCCATCCGCTCGTACTTGAGGTGCGGCTCGTCGGCGGGCTCCTCCGACGAGTCCGAGTCCAGCGAGCCAGAGTACTCGCCGATACTGTCGGCGTCATCCAGCGCAGCAGCAGCGGCGGCGGCGGCGGCGGCGGCGCCCTCGGACATGGTCTCCAGGCAAGGTGAGCAGTCTTGTCCTCAATTGCAGCGGCTGTTGCTCATATTTAACATCCACCTGTGTACGTTACACAAAGAGTGAAAAATAAATCACCAACTTATATGGGTGACAAATGCTTTGGGATGTGGGATAGCAAAGACAATAAAACTTTTGCCTTTGGACGGCAGTATGATTGCCTACCTATTATTTAATTTGTAGCAAAAGCAAATTGGGTGATCAGTGATCTTGCATGAGATGTGTATGTTTAGAACCCTGTGTGAATCTACTTGATGTGGTTAGTGGTTACTTAAAAAAGATATTGCATGTCAGGAAAATGACATGACTATCAATTAGATCCATGCAACATGAATTGCAGTTAAAGAACTAAGCACCGAGCTGTGAATTATTTAGAGAAACACAACATCTTTGGCTATATGGACAGGTAACATGTAAGCTAAATGCAAGGCGCAAATGTTGCGAGAAATCTTAAGCGAATCCTGTCTATTGAGCTGAAAGGAAGCATTTATTATCTTTAAATTTATATTCTGATCCAGTAGCTCGAAAAATTCCAGCTTTCACACCTTTAGGCACAGCAGGTAGGTAGGTAGTTGGTAGGTAGGTACTAAGACATCCTATGTTGAGAAAAGGTGAAAGCTGCCTGGGGTGAAAGTACACAATAATTCGCTGGTTGCTAGCCTGCTTTAAGTTGTACAGTCAAATTGCAAGGCAATATTAATGAATATATATGTAAAAACTAAAAATGCAGACACACTTCACCTATCTTGTCCAATGGCGGCGAATGCGGCGAACTTTGAGTGCTCACATGTGTACAATCACATACCAATTACGTACCAGCTGATTATTGAAATCCTTTGAACTTCTTCAGTGTTTGATATTTTTGAAATTTTGATCAAGCTTTAAAATGACCAGTGACTTTCTATTCTAGTATTTTTACAGGCTTTGAAAGAAACTCTTCAATAAAATAAACATGATAACCCTCATTTTTATTTATTTCGTTCGGCTAGAATATAATTTTTGGCAAGATTTCTGCATCAGCTGAAAGACTTTCACTTGCTTGTTATTTCGATTTTTAGCGGTAGAAGCATGGGGCAGTGGGGGCAGTGGTAAATTTTCGCGTTGCTTATTTTGATTGCATTTTGATTTGTATGGGTGTTTTTGAATCAGTTGAGTTACGTTTGCGGCTTTTCCCAGGAATATTTAACATAATTTTCCAATTCACTCTTCCTTCTAAGTCAGAGTAAAATATCTTCAACAGGCAAATCCAGACTGGGACTCACTATTGCAGGTAAAATACCTACCAATTTAGATCATTGAATGGAGTTTGTGAACTTTTACCTCTGAAGTCGACTTCAACTTGCTCGCTATGGCTTGTGTCCCTTTCAACATCATGTCCTTATCATATCTTTTTCAATCCATATCCAACGTCATGTCCATGATGTAATGTGGACACATTGTCGTTCAAGTTTGGGTTTGTCATATTAATTTGTTTCAAACCTGAGACTAAGGAGGATTATGTCTATTTTGAGTATTGTAGGTCAAGGTAACCTATTGCTGGGCTGGGCAGATCACACGTCATGTTATTTAATCTGTCTAATTAATTGTTAATGTGTTTTTTGTTCCATCCATAGTAGCCAATAATATTTACATAGGACCTACCGGACCTACCTATTTATTCAATTATTCACAGTCATTGACTCTAGATGGATGACACCATCAGCTTAGTTATCCACCATTAATCATCTGTATTCTGTAACCATCCATCCAGCAGCTAAATCCATCATCATCTGTATTACTTTCAGCTCCCAGATTAGATATCAATCTCAGACCTGGCCACCTCACACCTGAGGTCATTTCAGCCAGCCTAAAAGTTGTCAGCTCCTCTTACTTTCTTCCTAAAACCTGCCCACAAGGTTGGAAACTGAGGGCTGTTCACGGGCCCTGTGTGCGGTCGGACCGCACACAGCCTCGAAGCTCCGCCCACTTCGTCCCTACGTCAGCCTTCCGTCACCGCACACAGCGATCGCTGTGGCCGGTCGGGACTGGCCACAGCGGACCGTCCACCGCACGCAGCCGTGACGTCAGAGCCGCCTACCCATCCCCTACCCCCACGCCTGCTGGACGCACCGCACACAGCGCACGCAGCAGTGTGCGGTGCCCGTGAACACCCCTCTGGTTAATATTTCATGCCTGTGTGTTGTTGTTGTTTTTTTAGCAGTTGGTGAAGCTCATGGATGAATGAGACTAATTATAGCCTTGCTCAGTGAATTTATTTTTAAAACTGGCATTTGGGATTTCACATTATTCAGTAGGATAATGAATATATTGAGGGTTCTCAACAAGAGGTTGTTAATGCCAAATTAATTGAAATTAAGCGTCCAGTCAACTGAGATTGACAAGCTGTATACTAGGAAGCAAAAACTAGTTAGCTGTCTTCTCTGCTAAGATATCAGGTGCATGAATAATACATGTCATAATATGTATTGTGTGTCACAGACTTACAGCTGTTTTGCAAGTGTTTTTTTTTTGCCTCTGTAAAATTATAAAACAGCACTAATGATGGTCATGCTGTGAACTGCATTATGCAAGAAATTTTAGGACATGCAGAAATATTACTTCTTAAGATCAATCTTATCAGGTAAAACTAAAGGGACTAATAATTTACAAGCTGACCTGAGAAACCCTTCTTTGGTTGTTCTGCACTCCAAGGGTATGCAAGACTGGCCACTGTTTTGTAGGAGGGTCAGGTATTGTCAATCAGGCAATCAAAAAGCCTAGAGGCATTGCATGGTTTAATCACACTTGGGGCATTTATTATATTGCATATTATTCAATATCTGACATTCTGGGCCCAAACAGTTCTACCTAGCTTCTACCTTCTATGTACTAGGTACTGATTGCGAATTGCAGCTGTGCTCATTCAAAATGCAAATGCTGCATTTACAAAATAAGACAGCATGTTGTCATTTGCCATGGTTTGGGAGTGCTAACACCAAGTCGAGTGCATAACCAACACAAGGGGATATGAGTTCGTACAGGTTTTCATGTCATGCCAGGCATGATGAGATCATTACTGTGAGGAAAGTTGCGTCATCGCCGTCATTTTCCGGTTTTGCCTCCGGAGACGCGGAAACATAGACGCTTAGGATATTGCTCGTCATAACAACGTCGTGCTGTCTTTTGTCTGTGCATATGGGGATTACCGTTGAGTGTTCGTCTATCGATAACAAAGCGTACCGTATATGATTGCATCAGAATTGTCCCATACTATTGATGCTCGTTTTATTGGTGCGATCATTCGATCGATCGTTTTATACGCTGGATCGACGATATTTTTTTTTTGTATGTAATTAAGCAATTTGCTAAATCGCCCATCACTTAACACATTCCGACTCACATCTGATGACCCTATTTTGTCCGTCTACCCAGGTGACCTGTCGCCATGGGTCAGATACCATCCGAGCCCATCACCCAGAAGGAGACGCACGGACTCGGGTCGGACGCGTACCGGGTCGGCTCCAGCTGCATGCAGGGATGGCGCGCCACCATGGAGGACGCGCACACACACATACTGTCACTGCCCGGTGACCCGGCGGCGGCGTTTTTCGCCGTATTTGATGGTCATGGAGGTGAGCGGAGACTGCCGTTTGGTGTCGGTGCCAATTTAGTCGCTGCGTCGTTTTGTTGAACTTGCTGTCTTGAAATGTTTAGATTACAGAATTCATTTTCTTTTGTCGCAATTTAGACCAGGGGTTGCACGTAACTAATTTCGCGATGCGAGGAGTTACCATCATATTTGATATGTGTAGAAAGCAAAATTCGCATAATCGAAGCGCTTCATTATGTTTTCGTGCAACACTGTTAGTGATATGATGCGAGCGAATATGTTTCTGCCTCTTGCGTCTTTTGTTGGTCGTATTTTTCACGGGTCATGTCTTGTTTTTCGCCCTTTATGCCTGTTTCCGAGTTTAAACTCCTCCCAAGCTGTGAGTTGACGCTGGCGGTGTTGACCTGCATATAGTGACACCTCTCCCTCCCCTACCCACAGGTGACAAGGTGGCAGAGTTCGCCAGCAGACATCTACACACAGTGTTAGTCGGCCGACCCGAGTACAGCGTCGGCCGGGTGGCGGAGGCGCTCCAGCAGGCGTGCCTACAGCTCGACAGGATGATGCTGGCGGATGAGACACTGCGGGACGTGCGAGCGGGTACCACGGCCGTATGCGCCCTGATCAAGGACGGAGTGCTGTATTGTGTGAGTGGAGAGGGTTTGGTGGGTGGTGGAATTGGTTTGGTACGTAATGGGTTGGTGGGAAAGAATGAGATGGGACGTGACCGGATTGTGATCTGGGTTAGGCGGTATTATAATCGAAGCTCCGTTGGACTGAAACATTAGAATACTGACGAATTTACGTTCGTGAATTCTGGTTCGGGTTGTATTGATAAATATTTCATTACCACTTGACGTCCGACGTAGGACCTGAGCAAGACCTAGTAGACAGTGTATGACCTGATCCTTGCCCCTTCCCGCAGGCCAACGCTGGCGACTCACGTGCCGTGGCTAGTGTGTGTGGCCGCGCCGAGCCGCTCTCCGTTGACCACAAGCCCCAGGACCGGCGCGAACAGGAACGGATCACCGCGGCCGGCGGATCGGTGGTGGCCAACCGCGTCAACGGCTACCTGGCTCTGTCCCGCGCGCTGGGCGACTTCACATTCAAACAGAACAGCGCAGTGACGGCCGAGCATCAGGTGGTGACAGGTTAGTTCAGTTTTAACAATGGTGGCATTGGCGAGGAGTGGTAGAGAGGATGGCCGAGGGGTAACACATGGTCGACCACAGCCGCAGTGTGGTTACTGGATTGTACAACGCGATATGGAAAGGCTATTTGTGGATAAAGGTAGGTATTAAAGTACTAGGTGTGTCATGCTGCCAAACACCGGGCATTATTATTTACATGTCAGAGAGGAGCACACTGGATAAGTTAGCCACAATTGGCTGTATTTGGCGGCTAAGTGTGTCGTTGGCTCAGCGGCTTAAATATTATTTCAGCAGCACAACCACTGACAGAAGCAAAAGTCCAATAATATTTAAATGTTTTTATACATGCGGTCATTCAGTCGACCGCCCAGTGATGCGGTATTTAGCCGATGGTAATGCTTCTGCCATATTTAGTGGGCAGTCCAGAGACCACAACACTCTAAGCTTCTCTAGGGAAAGGCCATTGACTGGACTCTATAAGGCGCCCGAACTTGAGCTTTTTATTGCCAACAGTGATCTATTCCTATCCATCGTATGACTCTGACATGAGTCCGCGACTCCGCATTGCCTGTTAGTGTAATATCTGACTGTCTGTCTGGCTGTCCGTCTTTGGGTGTTGTGTGTTCATCATGACTGACTGCTCATTCATGTGGCCATGTCTATTGCTCTGCCGACAGCGTTCCCGGACGTGGAGACTCGCCAGATCACTGCCGACTGGGAGTTTGTGGTGCTCGCCTGTGATGGCATCTGGGACGTCATGTCCAACCAGGTGGGTTAGTAAGGACAGCATGTCCAAACTGGGTCAGGATGGGACAGCATGTTTAATTTCATGTGACGGATCATGTCACCCAGGTAATTCGCTTTTCCATCCTATGCTAGAGGTCCGATGGCGTGAGTGCAGTTACACAGAGTAGGTCTTCCGTCGGAACATGGTCTAGCTCGTATCAAGGACGAAATTTCCTGAGTCATGCGCGTTGCTAGTCCACTCCAGTCACTTCGCCACCTTTGTCATATCCAGCATCGTGAACTATTAATGACGTCAAGCGGAACGTCATATCCAACCAGGCAAGTCTCCTCAGTCGTCCTGCTTCCGTAGTTCTCTGCCTGCCAAATGTATCGCTATTACGGCTTTGCAGCGTAGTTGTCCGCGGCGTCCAGTTCTCCCCGTGCTTCGACTGACCCTCCTTCGCTCCTCTTGCCAGGAAGTAGTCGCCTTCGTCCGCTCGCGGATCGGTCGCGGCCTGCCGCCGGAGACCATCTGCGAGGAGCTGCTCTCTCACTGCCTGGCGTCTGACTTCATGTTCACGGGTGTCGGCTGCGACAACATGACCGTGGTTCTGGTGTGTCTGACTCCGACCGGGTCGTACGCGGCGCTGGCCGAGCGCTGCTCCCGGCCGCCGCTCGCAGAGTGTGAGGATGGAGACGGAGAGGATGATGAGTACGAGGAGGAAGAGGAGGAGGAGGAGCGGAACTATGATGATGAAGATGATGCGGAAGAGGACGAGGAAGAAGACGGAGAGGAAGAGGAATACGGACGAGCTGCCGACAAGACGATGGGGGCGCGGCCATGATAGTTGTAAGCCGTTCGGCGGTGGAGCAGACAGCGCTGGCCACTGCCGATCGTCTATAGATGTCGCATCAGTTGGATGTGATGACTGCAAGTGAGCGCTGAGTGGGTGTCGGCAGCAGATGCGGTCAACCGTCCTTGATGTAGGTCGTAACTGCTGGACACGTTTGACATTCCACTGCGATGTAGGATAATAATGCGATGCCATATTTTAAGGTCGTGATAGGGACTCGCCCCCTCTCTTAGTGTGTTCGTACCAAGTACAACAGCTCACACGCTAGCTAATACGTCTTAACCGTAGGTAAGTGGCATTCTGCCGTTAGGATGTTTCTGATGTTCTGAAAGGTTCCTCGCTGAGACCTTTCTCGTCCTATAAGTGGTGATCCGAACCAACGAACTAACCAACCTGATTCGGCTGTGTGCGTAATGTTTCCCATGCTTAGCGCTGTAACGAGTAGTTTGATGGCATCCTTTTAGGTTAAGTGTTAAGTCGACGGCTGAGTGTTTTTTTTTAAGATTGCTATTTTGAGCCTTTCTGAGATTATTGTTCCGTTGTCTAGTTTTTGACCTACTGTCAAGGTTTTGAAAGGCAACTGATATTCTTGGTCGAACAGCGAACGCTTAGATATTTTATTCCATGTCTTGCTCCAAAAGGGCATCTGTACTCGAATGTTAACCCATGAGTGGTGATCTTTTATGGACGACTTTGGCATGGATGTGATAAAAGATGGTGATATTTGTATGGCGCATTTGGCGATTCTCCGCGACATATTTTCTGATTGTCGGATGTTGAAGTTATTCCGATATGGCCTGCCTTCATCTGGTAGCGATAAATAACGGTGTGACGCAAATGTGCCTGTTCTGAGTAGATGGTTATACTGCTTAGGCTGTCTGTTGGGCGGTTTTAGAAGTTAGAACGACTGTGCTGATGGCAGCTGTACGCCCGGTTTTGATGGCATTTATCACGCTGTATTGTCCCTGTGAGCTGTGAGGGGTGTGTGGTGTTAACAACGGATGTTCGGTCTGACGCTAGACGATTAGAAATTGCTACTGGTGAGGGATGTGCTTGGGAGCGGATGAATGTGGCATCACGACCGGATTCGTGTGCAGCGTGCGCTCGTCTTAGGTCCTGCTTTGAGAGGAAGTTAAGCTGAAATGTAATTAGGCGATCATCTGCCGGGGTAGGGGAAGTACCCGTAGATTTAGAAATGAGGGACACGCCCGGGCTTTCTGCGTCTATCGAAGGGTCTTAGTAAGGACATCATGTGCTTGTTTGCGAGAGCAAATGAACAATTCTTGTGGTGTGTTCTACCTAAAGCACTGACATAATCCATCGCCGAGGAGGGTGACAGTTTCCGTACTGTAGTATTCCGCGTCTGGCCGTGTGCGTTGGATACCGCAATAGGTACGGACTACGGAACCGTGTGTAGCGTCAGCTGTTAGAGATGGAGATGGTGATTTCAATCCTACTTACCGCCGAGTGCAGACCTGTAAGTGTTCTGGCGACCGTCCCGGCGCGCTGACTGCTCTGTGATAATTGCCCCATCTGCCGGCCGACCGTATACGCGTGGAATCTATGTGACTGTCCCGTTCTGGGGTCTCGTGTACTGTACTGCTCTGTGCCGCTCGTGGACCCCGATTGCCCTATTTCCGGCTAAGGTGGCGTGATGATACTCTGTTCCGCCTTCGCTAACGTCTGATGCTGCAGCCCATGTCACATTCCCCGGTCTCCCTCCCTGCCTCCGTCCCTGCCTCTCTCCACTCCCCCCTTCACAGTGGTCCCGATGGGAGCCTGAGGCTATTTGTCCCCCGTGTGATATGCTCGCTCATCGGAGGCAAAATCGCAATAATAAAGTTTCCTATTGATATTTGTCTTTCATTTTTCACTGCATTATTTGCGTTCTAGTCAACATTGATCAATTGCGTATGGTGTAGCTAGAGCTCCATCTGTTACATTATAGACCTGCATGCTCAGCATAGCGCGTGCTGCAAGTGACTCCTGTTTTATTCGTTGGTATCTCATCTCCCAAACAAAGGTATGATAATCAACGACTGACTAGGCTTTATTTGTGATACGCAAACGGTCCAAGCGGGACGACGAACACCGTACAGTGGGCACGTGTATAGTACAAAGGCGGGCCTCTCCATCGGCCGACATGGAAGACTAGATGGGCTAGGTAGTTGCAGACGAGCCACACACACTGTGGCCTCCTTCGCCAGCGTACAGACGGACGGACGAACGGACGGGTACTTGTGCGGTCCGCGCGCCGGTCGGGTCTCGCAGGGGCGCCGCTGCGTCGTGGGGCTCTCCGAGGCGAGCGGAGAGCTCGAGCAGCCCTGACGCCCGTTCACACGTAGCTCTCCTGCTTGGAAGAGCAGAGAAGGAACGTCTCGAGAAGTCGAGGCTCCACAAGGTCCAGACCGTTGCCGTCCTTGAAGACGTCGTTGCCACATGCAGATGCCATTTTCCTCAGAGTGGCCTGTCAAACAAAAGAAAAGTAGGTTAGTTTAGTGTGGTGGTGATTTGCTTGGATCAGGGCAATACCAGCGGGAACTAGAAACCAAAAACAATTAGCATGATGAAAACTTTGTCTCCGGTGTCGCTCAGCATACTATCCTAAAATGGTGCCTGCCTTTCTGTGATCTGTCTGTCTGTCTTCTTTTATTCCCTTCTGTCTGAGACTGTCGGCCGCTGTGTCTGTCTGGAAGACAGTCTGTCTATGTCTGATGGACCGGTCTCCACTCCCGTCGTGGCGTGCGAGGGGCGACGTCTGCCTCCGCTCCGATAACTAACCACAAGAGGCTTACTGGGGTCTGAGCGGCGACTGAGACTGACCGGGGGCGTTACACCTGGAGCGGCCAGTGAGACCGGCTGGTGGTGCTACACCTGGTCTCTGACTCAGCACCAGCACTAACCCCCCAGTATGTCACCGACCCCGTGCATAGCTCGGTCTAGACAGACGCTCCACTATTGTCTTCGTCCTGTATGGCCTTGTGTGTGCATGTTTGCTCATCTGTCTGCCTGCAAGACTGCATCGCTGCTTTTGGAATGCTTGCCTACTTATCTGCCTGGCCGTATGCATGGGAACATGTCGATACCAATTTAACTATGAATGCCTGTCCATTTGTGTATTACTTACCAGGCAGGCGACGAGCACGCCGTCCGAGTGGTTCCTCTCTGCTCCGTCTCGGCAGAGCTGCACCAGTCGCTTCAGACCGCCGGACTCCGCCACCTCCAGGGCCACGGAGCGGCGCACGCACAGACGGGACAGCGCGATGGCCGCCTTCTGCTGCACGCGCTCGGCGGCCTGGACGGCAGGCTCTGCCATCTGACCACCGGCCGGCCGCTCCTCCAGGAACGAGAGCAGGGCGGACAGACCTCCGCTGCGGAGGACCTCCTCGTGGCACTCGGTGACAGACGCCATGTTGGCGAGAATGGTGGCCACCTGAGAAACAGAGAGACGTGATCGGTGAGTGCGAGAAAAGCTTTGAGCAGACACTACATTTACACAGGTATACATTCCAGCGATTCATAGCTATGCCGTTACTATCGAGTATCGACGTCATGACTCGCAAAGCTGGATGTTGTTCTAAATTGGTGGGCGTCGGAGCGTGCCGAATTGGGTCATGTGCGTTTGTTTCGCGGAAAAATGCCCGATATTCGCCATCACTTGGATGTTTTCTGCGCCCACCAGCCCTAGTTGACACGTGTGTATCTCCGTTTTCAGAGAGCCACCTAGCGTCTGACGCAAACTGCGAGCGTCACATCCTCGAGACGTGACGTCACGCCCTGGGTTTCGCGTGCAGGTCTCGCGTGAGGGCGCGAGGCAAAAGTGGGCCGGATAATTTCGGCAGTCGGCCACTCGCTGGAATTGGCAGCGCCAGGTGAGCGCCACACTGGATCCGAGTGTGTGGGAACGGAACGCCGCCGGACCCGGCGCGCTGCGGTCAGGGCAGCCGCACGGAGCTCGCGGTGGAGCGTGCCCCCGCATATTTACAGTGGGGCTGACTTTTAGTGCGGGATATCGGACACCGTCCACTGGCGGGGCGGGGTGGGGTGACGCGACCCGGTCAAGTTAGGTGTGACGATTTGGCCTGTATTCTCCCTCTCTCGCTCTCCTCCCCATTCCAAGAGTCGAGCCCCGCCCTTCTTCGCCCTCGCCCAGCGCTTACCTGGTCTTTGAGGAAGAGTGAGCAGGTGTCTGCGTTGCGCGTGGCCTGGACCAGCACCTTGGCTGCGCCGTTATGCAGCAGCAGGCGGACAGCTCCGATGTTGAGGAATGTCAGGTTGGCCAGCGCTGCTGAGGCCAGCAGGAGGGTCTCCACAGAGTCGGTGGTGGCCGCCAGACCTGTGGGACCGAGCGGGGGTCGGTTAGCCGGACTGTTCACACGGTCCTAAACGGGCAGCGCGTGACATCACGGCGGAATTAATGAGTGATGAAAAATGAAATAATGAATGGCGGCTAGAAGTTAATTAACGGCAGCAGGAAGTCTGGCGTGGTTGTTATGATTCAGACGCCCAAATGTGTCGTCCTCAAAATTATTGTTATTCTGGTGTGCCGCCGATGCCAGTGTTTTCGGACGCGGGGTTTTCCGCCTTGGTAGTTGACAGTTGACACTTACCGATAAGTTCCCTGATGATGTCCTCGACATGGTCGCTGATGCCTCGCACGTGGTGGATGCTGTCCACCCACGGGGAGGTGACCTGGGCGATCACTCCGGCGCACTCCGAGCGTTCCTCCTCAGTGGATCTGGCGTCCGTCAGGATGGAGGTGACCACGCGCAGACCGTCCGCCTGGGGAGGGGACAGGTGGTCAGATACGGCCAGTGGTGACAAAACACACAGACAGAGCGTCAGACACAGGCACGGGTACACAGGAAGTCGAGCCTCGACCGGCAGTCCGCGGGTCAGCCGCTGACCCGACCGACCGGTCGCCCGGCCGATCGGCTTGCATGCGGCGATGATATAAGCGTTTACGGCCTGGCTCCGTTCAACGGCCCACGACCGGAGCTCGTTTTGAGGCGGGCCGAGCTCATCTGCCTGCACCCGGCCGGCCCGACCCCCGTTCAGCGGGTCGGGTGAACGGGACTCAGTACTCCACTCTGGAGCTATGATAGTGACTACAGCTCTCGCACTCGTGCTAAGGACAGAATGCAATCGGAACTTGAAGTTGGAAACCATCGGCTAAAACCAAGGCCTATGGGTCAACCCAGCAGTCAACCGAACTGATCAACTTGTCAGTCGATTCGGTGACAGCTCAACATTGCACCGCCAGGAGATCGTTTCCCTACACTAGCTAGACCAACGTCGGTCTGCACTGATTCCCATCTGCAAGTCCCGGGTGTCCGGCTGCCGTTATCTCCACTAATGGCATCCTGCAGGAGCAGGGGTCGACAGCCGGCCGCGACCGGGCCGGGCCACGCGCCGTTTCGGGGAGACGGCGACTGGCACGGTACGACAGAGCACGCGGAGTTCCGTCCAGTCTAGACATTGCTGAGCGGCATTGCTGAGACGCTTACTGAGCACGCGCACTCCGGCTGCGGTCCGCGCCGAGGCGTCTCGCTCTCACACGGCTCACCGTTTCTCACCAACACCTGATCCAGGGGCGGCCGTGACGTGGGCCGTCAAAAATAAGCCTAACGGTGAGCGGGATCACCGACAGGCGCAAGATTTACGAGCCTCATCTGACCTTCGTGGCGGACGCCGGATAAATATTCAAGTTTGGCATTTACCCAAGAACGTAAGGGGCTCGTAAAAACCGTCCGCTTATCGTCGCCGTGTCTTTCGCCATTGTCTCGGCGATATCGGTGCTTTGATGAGTGCAGGCCGGTCTGTGGAATTGGTCACGATGGAGGCTCTCTCTCCGTCCCACCGGCCTTGTCCTTCCACGGCCGGTGACGACCTTCAGAGTCTGGTCGGGCCGGCCGCAGCGCCGGCGGGCCGTGTTTTTACTCGGTGACCGCGACCGCCGAGAAATGGCCACTTTTGCGTCACGCCTCGGCGGACTTTTGTCACGTCCCACGTCTGCCCATTTTTCCCAGAGGAAGGCCGATCTTTCGGCGACATTGGTACGGTGAGAATGTCATCAGCCGGCCGGATCGGGCTGCTATCGGCTAGTTCAGATGATGACGTCAGGGAAGGTATGTGGATTGGAATCGATTCTGACCATCACCTGGCTCACGACTACACTGCAATCTGTCTGCCTGGCGCCTGCAATTGGCCAGCCGGACGTAATTCGGTCCGCAGAGGTGAGCGATCACACGCACTCTATTCCGAGTCTGTCTGCGGCAGGGCGGATCCCTCTGCACACGCACGTCGCACACCGGTGTTTCTAGGCAGTACCGCGCCGGCACGCGCCCTAACGGGCCACCGCAGCCTTTCCCGGCCACTAGCGTGCTGGAGCAGCTCGACCAGCCGGATCTGGCAGTTTATCTGCACAATGCTGGGTCAGGGTCACTGATATGCGCATCTGAACTTCCAACCCAGCTGCAGCGCTGCCCGCAGCGTTTCCTCCGTATCTGTTTGGCACGGAATCTCGCCGCCGCCTGTCTGGCTTTCAGATGGCCTCCGACAGGCTGTCAGTCATGGGACGGGGTCTACCGCACCCTGCGGGAGCCACCTGACTCCTTGTCGCCCGTTCAAAGATCACGACTGGACGGGGCCCGTCTGGAGCCGTGGCTCACCCATAGCTCGCCTCAGAACCTCCACTGACACCGCCGCTGCCAGGATCTGCGACATCAGCCGCGCCTGGCCGGCGATAAGCACGTGCTTAGTGTGATGCCTCGGTGCCGCCGGTCGTCCGGGAATCCGTTTGTCAAGTCCCGGTATCGCGACAGGCTCTGAATAAGGAGTGGGCTGAGCGGCCGGCTCCGGCCGGCTGTGGCAGCCGACACGACGGCGCTATCACAGAGATGGGCTCATCACCACCGGATACGGCAGATCCACAGCGCCCGACTGGTGGAACTCACCTGCTCGAAGGCCTTGATTCCTTGGGAGACGCAGCAGAGGGTGGCCAGCGCGCGCAGAGCCTGCGGCCGCACCTGGCGCCGTCTGCCGGCGGCCAGCGACACGAGCCGGGCGGCGGCGCCCTGGCCGGCCAGGATCCGACACAGACGTCCGCCGTCCAGGCCGACAGAGGTGAGAGAGCGCAGGCCGAGCTTCAGACAGAGCACGTCCCGCTCCGGCGACAGGGAGCTGAGCAGCACCTGTGGACAAAGAGGCGGGGTCAGAAAACGTGAACACATTTATGCTTTACAGCGTTGGCCTTTAGAGCAAGAGGCAACAGGAAAGTGAGATTGACGAAGAGACGTGTGCTCATGTGGCAATCGAACATTCCTAGAGAACTATTAAGATTCATGACTCTTGCTCCCCGGGAAAAATCACTTTCATTGACTGCCAGGCGCCAGCTACATTGACCGCCATCCGCCCGCTCCCCGCTATTGACCGGCCCTGCAGAGCTCTCGTGAGCTGGGCGGTCACTCCTGCCTGCCCGCAGCCGGCGAGCAAACACCGCTGAGCACGGCGCGGACGGCCAGCTGCCGGCGGCAGCCAGTTTTTCGCCCATGCAAGAGACGGAACGATCGAACAATGGCCCTTTTTGCGGCCGGGCGGTGCTGCGGTGGCGGGCTGTGGGCGCTATTGCCGCGGCCGGGGAAACACGACGCTGATGTCAGCGGGAAGGTTCGATTCGATTGAGGGCGGTCAGCCGGACATGTGTCCATTACTGATTGACCAGTCTCGGTCTGGGGACATGGGTTGATGACCGTTGCATGGACTACAACGGTGTCGGTAACTATCAGGCCCCTGGCCGTTTTCTCCTTGATCTTACCTTGACCTCCTCGCCGAGGATCAGGTCCACCAGGTGGTTGAAGGCCTGCGCCAGCGAGGTCAGCACCTCCACCAGGTCGTCGACCTTGAACGTGCGGTTCATCTGGCCGCACGACTTGACGTACTCGAGCATCTTCTCCATGAGGGAGCGCAGCTTGTCCAGGTTGTGCACGTGAGATGACTGCCCGTCCGGATGCGAGAGCTCGTATTCACGCACAAAGTTTTGAATACGCTCCGTGACTGTCTGAGCGATACGGGGCACCTCCCGCACGTCCAGGTCTTCCATCCGCCTGTTTGAAGGAGATAAAAGCAGTGTTATCGGTTTGACAAATGCGACGAAGACATGTGCTGATCGGTGGCATACGTAAAAACGCACGTCGCACACTGCTAGAGCGCTCGGCGACATCGCCAACCAGCACGAATTGGGGAATGACTTATGTGTCCCCGAGTTGTACCTATCCAGCCAGGTGATTCAGAAATATGTTTCATAATGTATGTTCCGCACATTGAAATTGACATGCAGCGGGCAGGCCGGCCGGTGTTCCCGACCATATAGGACCTCGCGCCGTTTTCCATTCCCGGTACTGGGCACTTTTCGACTGCGTCTTCCACGGCACCGTTTACAGTCGCATGCAAATGGACCGGCGGCGCCGATGTTGCCCGTGTCGGCGGACATCGGGACGGTAACTCACGTGAACAGCGAGGCGAACTCCCGGCTGACGGTCTTGGCCCGGACCTGGATGTCGCGGATGTTGGTGCGCGCGTTACGAGCGGCCAGCGCCAGTAGGTGAGACATGTCCGAGATGACCGACTTGCTCTGCAGCGTGTTCATACACTCGACGTCCACCTCCCAGCAGGTCTGGTGCAGCCAGTGGCGAACTGACGGTGACCTGGGAACGACAGGGGTCAGACGAGGTCAGACGAGGTCACTCACTAGGTCAGACGGGGTCAGAGGGTGGGTAGGTGCAGTGGTGACCGAACTCCGCCATTACCTGCCGTGTCACCGCCCTCCGCCCGCTCCAGCTGGGAATCCCGCCGCTCCGGCTCAATGGTGACTGTCTGCCCGTCCGTCTCTGTGTGTGTGTGGGTCTGTTTGCTGTGCAAACTGCCCAGGCGGGCGGGCGCGGCTGCTGAGTCGCGACCCACAACGGCACGAGACCGGCGGTACGACCGCCACAGCCTGCCGGATGGCGACCGTTTCCTGCTATTGGCCTCTGACATGGCGAGCAAATCGTGCACCTATAAAAACAACAAATCTACCAGGAAAGAAACAAGCAACAAAAGCCCGTGCTCGACTGTGGACAAGTTTGCCTGGAACGAGTGGCTGGTACTGATGGTACGATTGGCTGCACTGTTCGGTCTATGGCTATGTCTAAATCGCTGACTGGGACGGCACGGTTTATCCAGGTGGTGCCGCGCTACCCAGCGAGTCCGGCTTAGGCATGGCCTGATTGAAATCAGAGCCAAGATCGGCACACGGCTCCTCTTCGCATCGTGACAGGTTGTTATCTTAGAGTAGATAGAGTCCAGCGCTCTTTCCCTGTTTTCCATGCGCTAAGACATACTTTCCTTGACATTTTTTGTCATACCGAGGTGCTAATCTCTCTGTAGGATACCTATTTGCAAATCCGACGAGTATTTCCTTTTGAACGAGTTACCAGAAAAAGTGTCGCCCGGCGAGATAGCCGAGAAGGACGTCGGCCGGTCGGGGGAGGGGGACGGGGTGTCGCGGCCGGCTCGGCCCGGCTCGGGACCGGCCGGCCGGCACGCTCTCGGTGGAACCAGTCGGGTCGGGTCGGTGGATCACGTCAGCGCCGCCGCCGCTGGCGACAAGGCCACTCACGGCGACCGACCGGCCGGGCCCAGCGGGTGGCGGCCTGACGGGTCCCCTCGGCGGTCCTCTGTGGGTGGCGGCGGCGGTCCCTGCCGATAACCCGCCACTGGGAGACCCCTCTCCACACACCGTCCCGGCCGGCCGCAGCAGCACAGGTGCTCGCGTGCGCGGCTGCACAGCGCCGCGTATTGGACCAGCCTGATTCGGCCAATGCTGGCCGCCCTGCAGCGCGGATTGAGCCAATACTCTCTGTTCTCACGGCGGCGGCAGCGGCTGTATCCGGGACTCTGAGCCGTGCCGCAGCTCACGGCCCTGTGCTCGGAACATATCGCGGCCTGCCGGGGCGCTGGGGCCGCCGGGCCGTCTGGTGCCGGCCCGCGCCGCCTCACACCGCGCGGAGGCTGCCGGCCGGCCTGGCGATTATCCGCCAGGAGGATGTGTTGGTCGGAAGGCTCTGTTGTTTATCCCCTTCGGACGTGTGCAGCGCCGCGGCGCCAGGTCCGGCTCGAAGCCCGAGGTGGTGATATCCGGATCACAGCCACGTGGCGGGCGTTGTGGGCTCACGGTGGGGGGTCACGGGATGGTTTGTTGAGGACGGCGATGGGCGGTTCTGAGGGGGGATCTGATAGTCATGGTCGATGGGTTAGTGCTGGGATTAATGTGACTTTAACCACTGATTGGCTCAATATGAGTCGCCGGTCAAGCTAGTAAAAATCGAGTCACCGAGCCACGTGTCAGGCTAGTTACACTCGGTCGTGTCTTTATCTACCTTTTATTACGGGAGAGACAGAAGCCCTGTCGCCGGCCTTGGCGCCTCTCTCGCGGTGACCGCACGGTCGTGTCGCCTCTCGCGCTCAGCTGCGGCTCACGGTGGCCGGGGAGGGGCGCGGAGAGGGGCGCGATGGCGCAACGGTGGCACCTGGATCGTCAAAGCTGACGCTGCAAAGTGGGCGGTTAAAGCCACCAAACATTGGCTAACGGGCTATTGGTGAACGGCGGCCTGGGACGCCCGCCACAGCCGCTCTATCATTGCATGTGAGAGGGGTCAAGTGTGGGACGTTCCAGCCCTCAGCGCATTGTGTAATTGATCGTCGCCGATCCATTGAGGGGAGGAGGGAATGTTTTTTATTATGGTTGAGGTTTGAACCGGCGAGTGGTGTGGTTGGAAATAAGGAGGTGCCGCCGGACCGGACCGAATCGTGACCGGGTAGAGGCGCCGGTGTACTTCCCACATCGCAGAAAGGTTTTTACTGACCACCCTCAAACAAAAACCGGAGCCGACTAAGTGGCAAATTCTGTTGATTGTTCAGGTCTGGCTAGAGAGCCATTAATCTACGCACTCCGACCGTCAAACCGGACCAGGATAGACATACAGTCACACGGGTGAATCGAAACGGGTTCCGTCGGGACTGCTTGCCGAGCTCTCGAGTCCTGGGGGTGTTGCGGTACTCACCGGACGCTCTCGATCCTGATGGCCGGCTGGTGGTGCTGCCGGTGCGCCTGCTGCTCCCGTGGCAGGCTGCAGAAGCGGCGCGCCTGCAGGTCGGCTGCTGCGGCCTCCAGGTTCCACACGGAGCGCGGACGGCGGGGCAGGGTGCCGGCGGCCGACTCTCCGGCCGGCAGCAGCTGCGACCAGCGCCGCTGAGGGGGTCTCCTGTCCGCGCGGCGCGTCACATTGCGTCCATCCAGCGCCGGCCGCGGAGAGAAGTCAATCGATGTGTCGTTGAGCGAGGCGCGTGGCGTGCGAGCGATGGCGGTCTGGGAATCAGGCAGTTCGGCGCGCTCGAGCATCGAGTCCAGCTCGCGCTCGATGGCGGAGCACTCGAGCACGTGGTCGGCGCGCATAGGGCTGGAGGTGAGCGGTCCGGTGCGGCTGGCCAGCGACAGGTCGGCGCAGCTGGCCGACACGGAGCGGTGCTCCTCCACGACCTGCAGGCTGCAGCGAGACAGCCGTGTCTTGGCAGGCGTGTGACCGGCGCGCGCCCGCGACCGAGACACGGACAGCGTCGAGCTCGACGCGGCCTCGCTGGTGGTCAGGATGGGCTTGGGCAGCGTGCCGTCGCCCGCACTGTGCGTCGCGCGCCGCGCCGGACTGCCGCCGCGCATCATCTTGGTCAGAGTCCGCGCGATCGAGCGCTTCTCGAACCGAACGCGCCGCTCGCGTTTCTGTTCATCACTCTGTGAGTCGCAGTTTGACTCGCCCGAGTCGGAAAATCCCGAGTCCTGGCTGCGCTGGCTGGTCGGCGAGCCGAGCAGCTTGTGACGCGCCTCGGGCTTGTAGTCGGCCTGGCAGTCGAGCAGGCTCTTCTGCTCCAGGTTCTGCGAGCGGCAGAAGAAGTCGATACCCCTGCTGTTGTAGGCGCGCACATTCTCGATCCCACACGTGGTCGTGCTGTTGCTCTTGGGGAAGCACTTGTCGGCAGCGCTGCCGGCGTTGGCGAGCGGCTGCCACAGGTTGGCCGGGGCCTCTGTTATGGAGCTCATCTTGGCGACCGAGGCTATCTCCAGCTCCAGCTGCGGCGCTCCGAACTCGAACAGCTTCCTGCGCGTGCCGCGCTGCTGCTGCTGTCGGCGCGCCCTCTGCTGCGGCGATATGCCCACCGCGGCGGCGTGGCTCGGCTGCGGCGGCGGCGGCGGCTGCGGCGGGACGTGCGCCCCGTTCAGCGGGTGCCGGTAGACTGGCGCCCGCTCCGGCCGCACCGCCAGACACGAGTCGGAGCGACTGTGGCGGCCGGCGGCGGCCGGGTCCAGCGCGCCGGCGCGCCGCTCGCCGAACACCGGCTTCACGGGCGGGCTGTGCAGCGCCGCGTCCCGCAGCCGGCTGTAGTTGAGCGGACTCGGCCGCACAGCGCTCATCGTGGCGCTGGAATGGCGGAGAGGGGCTGTCAGTACAGTGCACCGATCGGTGGAGATTCAGCGGGTCAAACATACGTGTAATCACACTGCACTGGGACCGAAACGTCAACAGCAATGGAGTAGAGAGACGGCTGTCTAATTGTCGATGCCGATCACTAACGTAGCCAGTGGATTTTTGTCGCAATCACAGACAGCTCTCGTCAGTACTTGTAGGCTAAATCGGTACATCAGTTATAAGCTTTTCCGGCCATGAATATGTCCACGACCATTTATACGGCGATCGTGGTCATGGTCGTGGTTAGATGACAGAGTCGTTGACAAGGCTGCGGTTTGAGTACATAATGGGTGAGAGGTGAATTGACTGAGGACAAGAAGCTAAGAGGTGAAATGACGAGATGCTCAGAGCTCAAAACTAAACTGACTGGCGCCCGCAGGTCCAGTAAGAAAATGATGGCTGTTGAGGTTTATAGGTGAACAAACTGGTGACAGTGCAGCTCAGATGAATCAAATGGTAAACGATCTATTGAGGCGAAATGCCAAATGACAGTGATAAAGTAAGTTAGATGGTGACTTGATGGATGACAGGAGGTTCAGAGACAAATTAGCTGACTAAAATCACTCCAAATTGAGCTGAACAAACTGGTTACGGGGCGGAATAAAGTAAACTGACTAATGACGAGCGGCCGTTCTCTAGAAGCGGATGTTTGTAGCTCGAGTCGCGGCCGTCGCCCCGCACCGAAGCTCCGGGCCCGCCTCTGAAGCCGCCGCCCGTCACTGGGAAGTCGCGTGTCGCCGCCGACAATTAGCATCAGCACAATGGTCTGTCGGCGTCGTATCTGATCACCATTATCGATACGCCATCGCGGCCAGCCGGTCGGTCTCACGCTATCGTCGGGCCGCATCGGTGGCCGGCGGCCACGGGCGCGCCCCTTGCAGGACAAACACTCGGCGACGGACACTCGGGGATTAAGTCACTGTCTGGGCGAAGGGCTGGGCTCGGTGAGCGCTGCCGTGAACAGGGTGGCCGGGACGGACAGGAGAGCGTGCTGGCCAGGGATCATCCGGACTGACCCGGCTCTGGTGACTGACAGGCTCAGTGTCAGTGTCCACATATCAGTGACTGAGACACTGCCTGGCTGGAGACTGACAGCCCGTCGTCCTCTGTGCCAGTGGAGTGAGGACGATACAGGATCATCAGCCGCGTACCGTCTCAGATCCCATCCATTCGCCGAACAGCCCGTCCGTGGCGGACTCGGGACGCTATCTCGAGCGGCTCAGGCGGTCGCTGAGCTCTGCCGGTGCCAGCCTCGCCGGCGGCACGGCACCGGTCTCCGGCGGCTGCATCCGCATTGCGCCGGTGCCTACAGCACTAGTCGTTCACGTGAGCGCGTGTCTGGGCCTGCCGCGGCCGCACGCACCGTGGGACCGGCCCGGTCTGGCGCGGCGCGGCGGTGGGGCCCAGGTGAGATCCGCCCGCCGGCCGTCCTGTCCGAACACGCATCCATCGACAGGCCGGTGACGGATGGCACCCTGACGGGCCGTCTCCGCACTCCGCGCCGCCGCCGGCCGGCCGGACCGGTACCGTCCACAGAGAGTATGTCGCCCCGACCGGGCCATCTGTTGTCTGTCGGAGAACATGGCCCGGTGTCCAAGGTCGCACCCCGATCGCCGTGTTTGCAGAGCGATTGTCGCGGCTCGCTCTTTGGACAGTTCGCCGAATGGCACCGGCCGCGGCTGCGCCGTTCGTGAGTAGCGCCATTACGAGGTCGGTAACAAGACATAGCGGAGATGTTTGCTGCAAAACATCAAACGGCAAAGTGGCGATGCTTGTCAAAACAGCTCAGCCGCATCGGCGAGGGCTCGGGTCGCTCTTTTTCTGCTTGTTCATCCCCTGAGCGGCTGAGCTGAGTGGTGGTGCTCTACTGGCGTTTGTCACGTGACTGCTCTTAGATGAAGGCCGAAACTGCTCTCCGACGGAACCGGCTCCCTCTCTCCCATCCCTCTCTCCCTCTATCCGCCCATGTCCCTCTGCACCCTCGGGCAGACGAGGTCGGTCGACCCAGTTCGGGACGGCAATCGGAGGCGGCCGGCCCCGTTGAGTGCCGTCGAGGTGCCATGTTTTCTCCGACTGCGGCCGGCGTTGCGTCACCATTGCCGCACGCGCGGCCTATTTGTGTCGTTTGTCGCGGTGGCCGTCGTGATGCACGCGGTGACCTGTCGCAATGGTAGAGTTGGCCCGCCCTCTCGGCACCCCGTGCGGCGGCGGGCAGGGGCCAGCGCTGACCTGTGACCTCTGACCGGCACCTCGACCCGGTCAGTCGGTGGCTGTGGCCATAGGAGTGATCTGAGAGGAATGTGATTGTTAAATGTCCTCTGTCAGAGTTGATGACAGTCCCGAAAACTGCCACCGTCCCTGCCCTCCGCCCACAGGACCCGGAGCCAGTGGGTCTCGGCCCCAGCCCGACCGAGCGCCGGCCGCGCCGATGGGCCATGTTTGAATTTTGGCCGGTGCCAGCTGTGACTCCGCCGGACAGCGTGGTCCATCCGTCCGTCCCAGATGGAATTGGAGAGCAGGACCGTTTAACGGGCCGTCAGATGCGGCGTCGTCGCCGCGCGCGCGGTCGTCAATCGATTAAAGTCGCGCTGGTGGGCGGCCGATCGGACGGTTTCCCTCCGATTGGGGGCAGCTGGGGACACCTCCGGGCCCGGGCGTGCCGTATGGGGCCGGGGGAAGCGTCCCTACCGGTCACCGACGCCGAGGGATGGACTGGCGAATTACTCCTGCCAGTTTATAGCCCGTCATAATTACAGAGCCAATAGAGCACACACAGTCCGGCGTGATATACTCTGTCCGCGCCCTTGTGAGGCTGATCGTAAAGCGATAAACGAACCACTGCTCGGTTGCCGGGACTGGCGCCTCACCCGACCGGGCGTCCTGGCGCTGTCGAGTGTCGACCACTGAGACAAAGCTCAGCAGTCAACGTTCTAAACTTAGTAAAGTAACCTTAGTGTAAGCAGGTCGAGTGACTGTTTCGCAGCTTACCTCGGCGGTTCCAGCTACTGGAGAGGCCGGGCGCTGTGTACGCCGCTAAGCCATGTCTTTATTTGTCAGCGGGCGACAGGGTGATGAACAACATTGGCTCCCGGCCGCATAAATGACCCACAAATAGCCCGTATCGCATCTAGGAGGGACAGCGAACATGCCGACTGGACGCAATGCTGTCCGCGCTGACAGCCAGAATCAATAGGCAGTGACGGGCATTATACATTTGAACGGCTCCTCCGGGAACAAGGAACTGGCAGCGGAATTTGAATCGTTTTCAAATGGATTCCATCCCGGCTCGGTCCAGCTCGACTAGAGGCCTCGTCGGGGGATGGCCGAAATGCCGGGGCCGGGAATGTGTCGAGGGGCCGATTTGTATCCGGGCAATTACACGGACAGAGCTCGGACAGTCGCACAAAGGCTGCTCCCCGGTCACCTCATAACTCAAAGGCTGGCCAGCCGGGTCCGATTGAGCGGCGGCCGCACGCGCAGCCATTGAGCGCTGCCGGCCGGCCGGGCCCATTGCTCGGTGAACGGGTTCCGTTCCGGGGGCCTTTAATAAGCCACCGGTCCTTCCGCGCTCCGGCCGAGAGGCGGCGCGCCGCGCGACGGGGAGCCGCCCGAGCGAACAGATGTGCGTCCGTTTAAAGGGCGCTCCGGCATCAAAGCAGCGCCTTGATCCGCGATCGAGGCCCATTGTGCGCGGCCGGTGCGCCACAATGCGCGCTGGCAGTGCGTCACAATGGTCTCCAACGGCCGGCGCCGACGGTCTGTTTACTTTCCAGATGGACGGAATGTGCCGAATCAAAGGCGGCCACCACTGGGAGGAGATACAGGTGTCACGTGTCATGGGCCAGGACATCGGAGCCCGGGCCCGCACATTGTATCCACGCGGTCGGAGACCGTGTCTACAGGCCCTTAGGGCTGAGTGCATGTTCCGAGCGAGTGCCCCCAATGATTCCCCCCCCCCCCTAACGGCCGTCTGCCTGGCGACTGTCTGCGGTCGGGCCGACCGGACGTCGGTGACGCGGCAGCAGTGCTGTCTGCTCGTGACCGGTGCCGTCCCGCCTCCCTCGTTAGGCCGGCAGGCGTGGCCGTGACCGAGTCCAGCTCCAGCCCGGCGACCCACCGGCCGACCTCGTAAAGACCCGACCGCCTCCGTCTCTGACCTCAGATGTGACACCACGAGACACGGGATCGGGGCGCGGGGAAAATAACAACAAACACGCCCAGAGACCAACGCCTGGGACAGGCAAACAAATAGCAGCATACAGAGATATCAGGGACCACGGGCATAGCAAATAACAGCAAATAGACATTAAAGACTGCAGTCACAACATGCTAAATAACGGACACAAACAAGCACTTCGAGTTTGTCATACTTCTTGCGCCATGCGCGGCGCTAAAAAGGTGTCTTTTCCCCAAACGGATCGACAAAAATACATCGCAATAGCATAAACTGAGAACTGTTGCATTGAGCTCTGGGAGCCTGCTCGTATTTGCTTATCGCGCCTTCGGAGAAGCGCCTGGCGACAGCGCGGCACAGGTCGCGGTTGTGTATTTTTACCGCGCCGGCCGGGGCAACGCCCGGCGACTCGTGAGCCAATGGACGGCACGATCGGGGCCGATACGGGCCAGTGTCATCAAGGCACCGTGTAATGGGCCATTAACGGAGGCCGATAAGGCTGCGGCCCCGGCTGTTAGCGCGACTGTTGTCTCAAATTCTCAACGTCCGTGTAAAAATGCCGCCTGACCGTGGGCTGCCGGTCGGCCGGTTCAGAAGCGGAAATATTGCCGAAGCTTGTCAATCACCAATCGTTAATTGGTACGTCCATGGGTGGCACCTGGTTTACCGAGTTCATAAACCGGTTCGGTCGGAAAATATCCGACATTTTTGTAAATGATTCCGACCGCATCACAGCCTATTTAGATAACAACAATATTTATGTCGTAACTTTGATGGGATATTTTTAATTACTACTTGACCGTTAAGGATGTGTGACAACAATGTTTCTTCGAACCAATTTATGCCCGATCGGCTGTCACGCCATACTCAGTCGTAATCCCACGTCACACTCCACTCACCTGAACTATCAGATCACCCTGGTTCGCCGAGATACGTGTTCAGGACAGCTGTTGGCACCGCTGCACACTCCGAGCGTCCCCCTCAGACTGCGCCTGAGAGCGGAGCGCGTGCTGTCTCTCCCTCCTCCCCTATATCCCGCCCTGCCCAGATGCAGGGGGAGGGCCGCGCTCGATCTCAATAGGCCCGGTCCGCCGTGGGACGGCCGATCAGGGTGCCGGTCATTGGTCCCTCCCTCTGGTCCCGGGACCGGGACGTGATCGGGACCATTGGGCCGGAGAGGGACCGATGGACGGACCGACGAGCGCCGGCTCTAGGTTCCAGTCAACGGCACTCGACAGACAAAATATCCACCCGGCTTGACCAAAACTAACCCCCGTTTCGATCCAGTCTGAACCCTGAAGCTCGACCAAGACCAGGTCTAGCACTGCTGTTACAACGATTAATTCGTATAAACGTACGATATAACTGTGGCTGAGGAAAGTCCAGCCGACACCCGAAGGACGGCCACACCAGTGAAGGGCTAAGGACCAGACATAAAATAAACCCACGACACAACCAAAAATCGCCGCCAAAATGGGCCGTTTTTATTGTTGGTACGACTCGGTACCTGTCACGAACAGCACCACGCTCTGTGACATGAGGACAAGGAAGCTTATCCACCCTGAGACCCGCGCTTTGGGGCCACTCATTCTGTCCTAAGCATGACAAGAGCGCTGCAATCTCGGCTCAGGCCGTAATCCTGCCTGCGGGCCGGGCTGCGGTCGCACGCGCAGGCCGTTCCTTTTCGGGGTGGCTCACACCGGATCGGCGCGGATATATCCTGCCCCTGTCTGTGAGTCCGATTGAACAGAGCCGGAGCTGCCGAGGTGATCAGCGAGCTCCAAACGGTCGGCGGGCGAGGTTTTTCTTATCTCCACCCCCCGCGCGCACACGGAACGCACACCGAACGCACACGGTGTGGTCCGGTTCTCCCGGATACCGGCGTGCCGTGCGCGCGTGCCGCCGCTGCCATCAGGTCAAGGTGGCCGCCGGCCGGCGGGCGGCAACCAGCTCACGCCCTCACACACTCGGCGTGAATGGCTAATCGGCAGCGCTTCTGGGCGTGCTGCCGCCGGCTCCAGGGCCGAAAATACGAGCGGCATCAAGGCTGGCGGTGTTGAATCATCTGGCCGTTTAGTGGAATGAGTCGCAGCCTGTTTGCGGCGCCCGCGGCCCGGACCGGCCCGGCCCGGTACCTACGTGTCGTGATAACGAGGTCGGCCCAATTTATGTCGTTCGTGACCACCAAAACCAACTTCCTCGCCTCCGTCAAGGCTTCCTGGTGAATACACGCCAGTATTTCATGTGGAGCGTTAAACGCCCCACATTTGAACTGTATGGAAGTTACGTGCCGCAGTTTGCTCTACTATTTTGTTTAATGCATGAATTAGTTCAGAAAGAAAGGTGGGCATAGTGTAAATGCGGTAAATGTAATTCGAGCATGACTATCAAGAAAACTGGGGTTTATATTCATCTCTGAAAATGTTCCGGTAAATGTATCACATTAGAGCAATAACACAGGACTAGATGAACTTTTAGTTAGCGGTAGTTATCGCCACCGCATGCTAATAAGCAGCGGGGAGACGGCTTGGCCGCTCCGTACTAGCACGTGGCTATCCGTCCTCCCACCCGACGTCCGTCCGTCCGTCCGTCCGTCCGTCCGTCTGTCCGTCTGTCCTTCCCGTCCTTGGCCGGCGGGCCGGTAATTATTGCGCGGAGGATCGACTCAGTTTAATGGCACCGGGACTGACCCGTAACTCACCTCTGTGTGTGCCGCAGTGACCACGGCTGTGACTGTGCCTGTGACTGCGGAGTTCGATGTCACCAGTGACGCCCGGAGGCGCTAAATGTTCGCCTGAGGGCTGCAGAGGACGCCGGGCTCTTCCCACGTGTCTGCGCCGCCCGTCGACGGCCGTTGGTGCTGGTTCACCAGACGGTGGCGCCGTGGCGGCGTGTGAAAACGGCCGGCCCGGCTCCCGCCGACACGCCCGATCGGTCTCGCTGGGTGTACCGCTGACACCGACACGGAAGGAAGCGTCGCACGTGCGCCGGGCTCGACGGTGGCAGGGCGACTGGCGAGGCGGCGCCGGCACGTGCCGGCGATGGCCCGCGGCGTCGGTGCGTCCCCTCCCGCGTTATCGTGTAGTGGTTAGCCGGGTGGCTGCACCTGGCCCCCTCCCCCGGCGGCCTTTAAATGCCGGTCGGCCGTTGGACGGCAGATGACGGGCGGCCGGCCGCCGGCCGCCTGCTGCCGCCCGCATCTGCTCGACGCCGGCGTCCGATCGATCCCGCCGCTACCGGCCGACAATGGCACCACCTGCGTGTCGTTCACAGTTCCAGCATGTTCCAGCCCCGGGCCGACCCGGCGGCTGTGGCTGGCTCCACTGCAGGCGAATGACGAGCCAACAGGTGATCAATAAACTGCAACCTGTCCGGACTTTGATTGAAACAATCGAGCTCAGTTTTCCCCTCACCGCGGTCAGGGGCTGTCCGATTCTCAAACTTTCAAATCCGCCACGTTCTTCTGTCTGTAATTAACGTTTAAACTGTGCGTTCGGTGATGGAGAGGTGCTTTTCTGACCGCAGAAATTGTCGTTTTTGCCGCTGGAGGTGGCGGCGGTGGGAGCGGAAGCCGGACGCTCTTCCTGCGGCTTTCCAGCCTGTTTATTGTCATCGGCGACCGGCAGCTCGGCAGACTAACCGCCTCCGCCCCCGCCGGCTCCGCTCACCGCCGCCACCCATCTGTCAGTGGCGGCTCCTGTATCGTTTGGGGACCTCCTCGCCGGGCCGGAGGTAGCCGCAGTCACAACAATCCGGCCACTTCTGACGGTGCGATCGCTCACTGAACGCCGCTCTGTTTTCTCAGGGACGCCCCCTTCAACCGCAGCGATACTCCCCCGCGGCGCGCGCCTGGGGGGAGGGGTGAGGGAAGGGGAGCGCGGCACGCGTCCGTCCCCTTCCCTCCCCTCGGCGACGGCAGTTTAAATGTCCCGCGCGTGAGATCAGCTGTCGAAGGGCGACCATCTGCCGCGCGGCAGCGGCGCCCGTCTGCCGTTGGTGGCCCGAGGCCGGGGGCAGGTGTGGAGACCCCCGGAGGCTCCTGCAGACCCCCCCCCCCGTCCCCACCGCCGGCGGCGCCGCAGACAAAGCCGACTGGCGCCGCGGGCTATCGGCCGAGACCAGACGGCGGCTGACGAGCGGCGCCGGCCAATAGCCGACGCCTGGAGCACGCGTTCAAATTCTGCCCGACTGCGACTGCTGATGTCGTTCTAATGAGCGCGATGGACGGGTCCGAATGACGACCTTGATCTCAATCGTATAAAATGTTAACTGGAGAGATATTCATTGGATAACGAGGTCTGATTATGAAACAGACGATAAGTGCACCTCTGTTCTGTATCTGTCACGAAATGGGGGTGAAACACAAGGTTGTTTGGGTGGCGGCACGAATGTTTGAAGTTTCTTGGAGAGAAACTGGTGTTTCCTGCTTATCGTCGGGCGCTGTTTTCCGGCTTCACGCTTTTCACACACGCCTGGAACGAGTGGCGGGCGTCGCGGCGGGCGGTGCGCGGCAGACCGGGTCACAGAGGAAGAAAACAGGGAAACTCGGCCGGCGGAAACGCGCCATGCCGGGCCGGTCACTCTCCGCGCGGGAGATATCGGTTACAGGCGGCGGAGACACCGGCCGGGTCGGCGGCTGACCCCGGCTGACCTGCGCGGCCATCGTGGTGACGTCACCGGGTGAGATGACACACCGGCGCGGCGGCCACTCCAGAGGCCACAATTAGAGGGCCGCCGGCCGGGCCGCGCCGCCGCCGCCGCGTCACTAATTTATGCCGCGTCGGCTCCCCATAAACGCTGTGTGACGGAGTGCCGAGGAATTTGGAGGGCCGCCGGCTCGGCCACCCGCCATTGAACGCAGCAGGCGTTTAGAGTTGCGCCGGAAAGGCCGCTGGGTTGTGTGACTGTGAGTCTGTGATTCAGACTGTGACTGAGAAGCGCCGGCGCCTGCGGCCGCAGCGGCGGCCCCACGCGGCGACGGGCCCGCGGTGATCGCATTGCTGCGTCTGCCGCCGCTGGAGGCCAAAGTCCATCCAACAGAGTAGCGTCCTTACTGAACCCAGCACCACGTTACCTTGACTCGAGACACTGGGAGGGGCTGGGGGCGGCCGGCGGCAGTCTGCCGGACTCCGAGGGCGGGGCGGAGCCCGCCCCTCCGCGGTCCGTCCTCACAGACGGCCAACATACGGCCCCTAATTACCGGCCTCAGATGGCCAGCCGGCTGCCGTTCGGAAACAGACGCTCGCTGGGAGCGATCATTGGGTGGGCCGTTCTGCCCCAAAACCGGCTGGCCGGCTGGCCCTGACGATACCGGTGGCACGATCCTTGAGACTTCGGTACCATCCCTAACGCCCTAACGCCCCTGACTGATCGAACTTCGTCGTAGAGTGTACACGGAGCAGTCCCATTGGTGACGTCTTAACCCGGCAGTTGCTGGGGTATTTCGCCACCCACCGTTTGCTGGGGGGGGGGCGTTAAACGCCCCCAGCCGATAACTCGAGAACCGATAGGCGCAGCGAAACGCACGAGGCGGCAAACGAAAGAACGCGACGAGACGCTTCAGATGAGTACTTTAAAGTTGAATTTTGAGGTCACAGGTCGGGTCAAGGTCAGGTCAAACACCTGAAATCGGGCTTTCAGTAGCATGGACTTCAGGACTTCGCAATGGGCGCCTCTCGTCATAAACTCTGTCAAAACGGTGCACAATCCATCATATAAGGCCTACAAGAGTGTCAGCTCCATGTAGGGGTCAGTCAAGCATAGGTCAGGGTCAAGGTCAGGTCAACCGGGCAGGCACATATTCCCAAAAATCAAAACTGATATTCGCAGCCTGTGACACATGTTTTATGGGTAATTTGGGGCGTAGAACACGATGGTGACATTCATTTTATCATATGTGTACGTGTTTGGCTAAAAAAGTTCAATTTAAGAAATGCATGTATCATGGTCGTAAAGTAGTCACGAGAAATTGTCAAGATTCAGTTCAAGATTTTTGAAAATGCGTAACGATAATCAATAATCGAAGATAGCCATTTGATTGTTCATGGTATTGGCAGTCTAATGGCGTTTACGGCATGTCTGTATGTCTATTCTGTGATTTTATATGATTTTTTGAACATATGCCGTTTTTGATCGAAAACTCAGAAATCATGACGTCACTAAAACCTCGATATCTCAAAAATTTTCCGACCGATTTTTTTGAAACTTTGTCACAATAAACTTCAATCAATTCCCTACAGGTACCCAAAATTTGGCGCGCCTGCGGCGCGCCGTTTTTATGCTATGGCCCGGCGAAAAAAGTGGGGGCGTTTAACGCCCCCCCCCCAGCAACTCGCGGGTTAAGTCCCGTCTCGACTGTTGGCGATTTCATTTCATTCCTGGAGGTCTTGTTTTCTCCTATGTTTTCCCTGATGTGACTCCGATTGGCAATGCCCTCGCCGCCTCCCGATATCCCAATGTCCCTGAATGCCTCGGATGGTCAGTCTTGCTACTGTCTACTTACCATGGACCACCAGTGGCCTTAATATAACAGTGGCGCAACGCTTGGCCAGAAAACTGCCAGTGTGCGGTGTTGGAGAATAGTTTGTCGGTGGCGTTATCCGGATAAGGCGACATTATCGGCCGCCTGTTTACGAGAAGACCCTACTTAAAACCTCCGGAGAGAAAGTTGTGAAACGTGCGGTCGACCGGCATCTAGTGTCGAGAATTGAGATGGATCACAATCGCCATCGCCCAAGGACGCGAGAATGTCAGACGTAACTCTGAGCCGGGCTCTTTTTCGCCGATCGTCACAGATGCTGAGCTCAGCTCACTCAAAAATCAGAGTCGCGGCGACCGCCAATGCCGAATTCCGACGGCGATTCCGTCATCTGCGAGCGAGCCATTCTTGTCGCTGCAAACTGGTACTCACTATTCCACTAAAAGCAGGCGGATCTGGTTCGTTTGATTCATGTCGAGTTTTACAGTGCGCTTTTATCCGCGCTAAGTTATGGATCCGGTTTGAGTAGGCTCCGAGCGGGTACGCGTGCAGGCTGTGTGCCAGCGAGCCGCGTGGCTGGGCGGCCTTACCCCTGCGTCATCCCGCCGCCCGTAACAAAGCACTTCTGGGGAGGAGGAACGAACGAGCGGGAGAGCGCTGCTGGACCATCCCGGCCCGGCGCCGCGCCGCGATTAACGAGGTCTGACCGGTGCCCGCCCCGCCTCCCGACTCGTAGCGCTGGAGCGTTCCGAGCCTGTTCCACCGAGCTGGCGTCTCTCGGCTCGCTACGACCGGCTAGTACTCACTCGTAGAGAGCGAGTGAGTGAGCGGGCGTCGATAGCGCTCTCATGGAGCTGCAATTAGCATATGCATCGTGCAGGCGGGAGTGGCGCCTCCCCACTGGGGGCCGCCCGTCGCGCCGCCGCCGGCTGGGAAATTGGGCCGGCCAGTGTAGTGGGTGGGTCCGAGTGGCCGCTGGGATCGGCCTGTCTCGATCACCGCGAGTCCGGCACGGTGGCGTCACTGGCGAGTCGTAATTTAGCCCCATCCTCAGAGATACGAGTCTGTAACGAACGACCATGGAGCCGTGAGGCTGCCTGTTTCCCTGGACCCTGTGGTCACTTGAGTTGTATGACTGTCCTGTCATCTGGGCCGTCAGGCTGTCCTCTCCTCCGTCGGAGTCGTCTGTCCCTGACCTTCTAGCCCTGAGACTTCATACCGACTGCATGAGCAGATGCTGCCCTGAGGGCCAAGACCGTCCCATCTGGCGACCGCCAGCCGCTGTTGTCCTAGTTTGGCCTGCACCCCGCACCCTCCGGACATTCGCCGTCAGTGGCCGACGAGCGACACACGGCTCTGCTCCCTCGCCAGTCTCCCATCGCTACATATTTCGTGATTGCTTCCTATAAACACGACTAGCGAGCTTTCATCAAGCTCTTGCTCACAACGCGCTGCCTCCCTGTTTTTTTTTTTTACGCCATCGGTCCACCGGCCGCCCGCGCGGTCAACTGGCATTGTCCGGCGCGGTCCGAGATGCTCAGCGATCCGGCTCGACGGCTAATGGGTTAGCCGCGCCGCTCTGTAGTCTAA